TTGGGCATGCCTATATGAATTAATTAATCATTTTATTTTCGTGTCAAATCACGAGTTGGAGACCCATCCCTTAGGCAAGGTTCCCCAACTGGCAGCCAGCAGGCCAAAGTGGTTTTATTTGCCCCCCCCAAACTTAAAAAATAAAATAAGTATATATTGTTGGACATAAGACTGTAAAAATACAAGGAAATCAGCTCCAAGGGATTTTAATTTAAGAAATCTGTTCAAGTATTTTCACACATAATAGAGAGACAAGTGATCGTATACAAATGTAAGCAAGGTTTGCAATGATTATGTTTAGTCAAACATTATATCTGTTTGGGCTTCTTGCGGTCAATTTGCAGTACACAAATGATTTGTAATTACGTTCCAGCCCTCCGACCAACCGCTCAAGAAAATAAATCGTCCCGCGGCTTAATCTAGTTGATGATCCCTGCTTTAGGGGGTGAAAATTACAATGGTGCTTTCAATGAGTCCTCTGGTTTACTGGGCAGTGCGCACCGCATTCAAAGAATACAACAATACTAACTTGATAATAAAGAAAGATCCAAGCAATAACAATAACCAATACGGCTGTTGAAGGCAACTAGATCTTATGTTAACTTTGATTGTGTTCCATGAAAAGTATAGACCTTTATGCAACACAAGTGACTTGATGCCTGATTCAGAGGGGTTGGGTTAAATGTGGAAGACACATTTCGGTTGAATGCATTCAGTTGTGCAACTGACTCGGTATCCTCCTTTCCCTTTTGCCTACTGCACCAAAGCGAGTTAGAGTTGTTAAACGGGAGTAACGCGAATGTGTTGATAGAACGGTAATATTTAACAACCATCAGTATTGGTAAAAAAAAATGCCAACATATTAGTCAATCATTAAGAGTATGCAAAGTGATCGTGTCAGTCGAAAATTATATTAAACGTTTTACCATTGCATGTGCAGTCTCACATTCACTCTCATAGCGATTGGTTATTCCCCATAATTAGCAACAATGTCAATGAGCGTCATCACTAGATTTCCTTTGCGGTACCTCAAACTGTCGTGATTACCAGCCGAGATAAACATTTATAAGTTGATTTTGTCTGGGTAGTGTCTCAACAACATCCTAAAACCTACTCTGAGCTGGGAGTTTTTTTGTTGTAGACTTAAAAACAGGTTTCAACAGGATTCCTAGGACCTTTTCTGAGATGCTTTGTGGATACGGTCCCTGTTCTATTCCAGATACAGTATCTACAGCCCTATCTACTCTCCATTGCATGCTTTTTAGCCTGGGCAGTTTAGCGTCCCAAATGGCACCTATTCCCTATATAGTGTACTACTTTGACCAGGGTCATAGGGCTCTGGTCAAAAGTAGAACAGATCAGGCAGAAAATAGTTGCATTCTGTAGTTTATTTGAAAATACCTACTTTTCAAATACTCAAGGTAGTCAATATATAGTTTAATTACAGTTTAAACTAAAATGCAACTTTTTTAAAAATATATTCAAATACAGATCTCAGAAAAAAGAGTTGAATGTATTTGGAATACCTTTGGGAAAACCAAATTATATTTTAAGGTATTTGAATATATAGAGGATATTGGAAAAAATGTAAATAATAAAACATATTTGATGGCTGCCAAATATTTGATGAAGAGCCAAAAACGACAACAGTTAGTTGAATTAGTCTAAATATATTATCATTAGCACACTGGAGGGCTCTCAGATATGAATATTAATATACCCTAAAATTAAATACATGAGGGACATGGAATCAACCTCAACATTAGAGTAGATCACTTTTGCAACTTCAAAATGACTAACAAATATATATTTTTTACAAATGAGTGAGACACATAGTAACACTTGACATCAAGTTCTTATACAGGTGTAGTAGCTTTGAGATTATTACAATAGCAACATTGTTGTTACAGTACATTGGACTTTGGAACTTGCTTTATAATGTCACAATAAAGGAGTTATTACATACGTGGACAGTAGTTACAAAATCTCAGCTCATTGCTATGCAATTAAAAACGCAATTACCAAAGTATTATGTAACAACATGCAAATTAAATGTTGCTCCAAAAGTAATTAGTTATATTACCCAGGCACAAGAACAGTTTAATGTGAAGTGTCACTGAGAATGCAAACAGTAACAAAATATGGCTATTAAGTGTCGAAAGGAAACGAAATATCCCAAAACTGCCTTCTTGAATCAACTACAGCCAAGGTAGGTGGACAATCATGTAAGTTTGTGTTTCCGTGTAGCTCAGTTGGTAGAGCATGGCGCTTACAACGCCAGGGTTGTGGGTTCGATTCCCACGGGGGGCCAGTATATACAAAAAAATGCACTAACTGGATAAGTACATCTGGATAAGAGCATCTGCTAAATGACTAAAAATAATTGTTCCAAGTAAACTATCCTTTTAAAGGGATACTTCGGGGTTTTGACAATGATGCAACCCTTTATCTACTTCCCCAGAGTCAGATGAACTCGTGGATACCATTTTTAAGTCTCTCCGTGTAGTTTGAAGTAAGTTGCTAACTAGCGTTAGCATAATGACTGGAGGTTTATGGGTATCTGCTAATACCCATAGACTTCCAGTCATTGCGTTAATGCTAGTTAGTATTGGCTCACGAAACTACCTCCAACTTCCTTCTTACTGGACACAGAAACATAAAAACGGTATCCATGAGTTCATCTACCCTGGGGAAGAAGATACAATCCCAAAGTATTCCTTTAAAGATGGTATAGTGTGTTTGAAACAAGGACACTTACCCTCAGATGGACAAAGAGGTTCCAAGTTGTTTTTGCTAAGCATCCAACTTGCTGTTTGCAATGTTTACAAATGGCTTTAAATTACTCTGCAGTATTTTCAGGTATCATAATAAATTGCAGCTTTCAACCTTTTCAGTGCATGTTGAAAGAGTCATAGAGTAGTTGAGTGTCATAACATATTTATACTTATCTGTACAAAATATCATTGGTTTGACCTCATTATCTACAGCTGGGGCAATGGACAGTCAGGAGAACAGACATTTACAACATGTTTAGATAGACATGTATTGTGTAGATCAAACATTACTGTCAGAGATTGGTTGAAGTTTGAAGGCAGCCAATCCAGTTTCAGAAAAGTAGTCACTTCCTGAGATCTGTATTCAAATAGTTTTGAAAAGTAGTCACTTCCTGATATCTGTATTCAAATAGTTTTGAAAAGTAGTCACTTCCTGATATCTGTATTCAAATAGTTTTGAAAAGTAGTCACTTCCTGATATCTGTATTAAAATAGTTGTAAGTCACCTCCAAAGTAACTATTTGTTCCCCCGGAAAAATAATTACATTCCCCAAAGCATAGTTATCCCAGGTCTGTAGTGCACTATATAGGGAATATGGTGCCATTTGTGATTAAACCTGAGTGGAGTGTATGGAGTATATTTTGACACAGACCTAAAGAGATTGGACAGGCTGGCACTAATGGTGAGTGTCAATTGGTTTGCCTACACAACCTAAACTGCTGTGAAATTAACTGTGATGTAATAACTACATTGTAATATTAAAACTGACCCAGATTGGATGTGAATGAATGACTCTCAAAGTTTTCTATTGTTTGTCTGTAAATCATTTTAATAATATAATAATAATATGCCATTTAGCAGACGCTTTTATCCAAAGCGACTTGCAGTCATGCGTGCATAATTTTTTTGTTGTTGTGTATTTTCTCCGTTCTCAATTCTGTCTGCAGATGGTTAGTACGGCATGCCCTACCCTTTACAAGGCGACGTCCCAAATGGCACATAATGGGCCCAGGTCAATGGTAGTACACTACATAGGGAATAGGGTGTTATTTGGAACACAACACCAGGTCAATGGTAGCGCTCTACATAGGGAATAGGGTGTTATTTGGAACACAGCACCAGGTCAATGGTAGTGCTCTACATAGGGCATAGGGTGTTATTTGGAACACAGTACCAGGTCAATGGTATTACACTACATAGGGAATAGGGTGTTATTTGGAACACAGCACCAGGTCAATGGTAGTGCTCTACATAGGGAATAGGGTGTTATTTGGAACACAGCACCAGGTCAATGGTAGTGCTCTACATAGGGAATAGGGTGTTATTTGGAACACAGACATAGATGGGGAGGGGGGGGGGGGGGGGGGGACGACGACACAATAAGCAAGCTGCATCTGAAATCTTATTAAAAAACCTGACGTAAGATTATTAAAAGATTAGCTTCACCTAGTTCCATCTCAGCACGCTCTTTGTTTGTTTCTGTCCTGAGAACAAAGAGTCTTCAGTTTACAGGGAGTCAGGAGGACAGGCAGGAGGAGCCAGATTTAATCACTCAACTGAATTGATTCACAGATTTCACACAATGAAATGGTCTAATTTTAGGATGGAACAGATATTTTAGTATTTCCACATCCTTGATTCAATAATCTTTTCACTTTGAATGTTACAGACATGATCTATCGTTTGTAAGTATTTAGGAAACCCCTCATTCTCTAATTCATTCAGCCCAACTCTCTCATAATAAGTTATGATTATCCAGCTTCTCTCCTCACGACCTGAGTCACCTCTCCTGAGCCCTTTGCGGTGTATTCCAGGGATGACACTGCCCCCCAGTGGTCTATTACAGCAACTGCAGGTTCTCAACACCAAAGGCATAGGTTGATGCTGTTCTCTGAAGTGCATCCAATGACTTTATTGATAGGTAAATTGTATCAAAACTTTTATTGAACTGACTGAAAAAGATGAATCCCTTATGTATAAACAAAGAGATGTTTTATAAAACTTCTGAATAGTGCAATTCTTTGATGAACAAATGACACCACACAGAGCAGCAAGACATTTGGTCACAACAACAAAAAGTCACGTTTAAATTAAATTAAAGTGGAATTCTTATTGTCAGGATTGATGAGTGGCGTTCCCCAGAATCATGTCTTGGTAGTCTACCTCTTCTGGACCAGAATCATGTCTTGGTAGTCTGCCTCTTCTGGACCAGAATCATGTCTTGGTAGTCCGCCTCTTCTGGACCAGAATCATGTCTTGGTAGTCCGCCTCTTCTGGACCAGAATCATGTCTTGGTAGTCCGCCTCTTCTGGACCAGAATCATGTCTTGGCAGTCTACCTCTTCTGGATCTGTCTCTTCATAATCTGATCTAGGATCAGGTCTCCCTGCTTCACGTCCATGTTGCCACAGCCAACCACCGGACAGCTGTGGGAGGGAGAAAGAACTATGTAATCAATCTGTTTTACTGCAACAGTTGTTTAAGCGTAACGACAGGTGAGAAAACAGCAGGCTAGTGCAGAGACGACAACACGTCCTGATTGACAAGATGCTACAGCAACAGGGGTAGGCAGACTCAAGACAACAAATGTGCTGTAAATGAAATGACTAAACACGACAACGTGTGAACCAGTCGTTAGGAACATCATGTCTCACCGTAACTTCTTCTTCTGGCTTTGCCTGGCGCTGATCATCCCCATAATGGCGTCCCGGTCGTAGTGGTGGTTACACTTTTTGTTCTTCATTGGGTTCACCATCTCCACCTGCAGGGCCGCACAACAACATGGAGAGAACCACACTGTAAAGCTTCATTGTCCTGTTGCTGAGCCGTTTTAGTTACAGTGGTAAAGAAATACCAAACATACATATCATGAATTACTGAAATGGGGAAAAACACAAGACAACAACCACATTCAAGTGAAATGTGAGTTGTCATATGACATGTTAAGTGCCACATGGTAATGACACTGACAGGAGGAGAGACCAACCTAAGTGAGGGGACAGGTTAGCTACATGGTAATGACACTGACAGGAGGAGAGACCAACCTGAGTGAGGGGACAGGTTAGCTACATGGTAATGACACTGACAAGAGGAGAGACCAACCTGAGTGAGGGGACAGGTTAGCCACATGGTAATGACACTGACAGGAGGAGAGACCAACCTGAGTGAGGGGACAGGTTAGCCACATGGTAATGACACTGACAGGAGGAGAGACCAACCTGAGTGAGGAGACAGGTTAGCCACATGGTAATGACACTGACAGGAGGAGAGACCAACCTGAGTGAGGAGACAGGTTAGCCACATGGTAATGACACTGACAGGAGGAGAGACCAACCTGAGTGAGGGGACAGGTTAGCTACATGGTAATGACACTGACAGGAGGAGAGACCAACCTGAGTGAGAAGACAGGTTAGCTACATGGTAATGACACTGACAGGAGGAGAGACCAACCTGATTGAGGGGACAGGTTAGCCACATGGTAATGACACTGACAGGAGGAGAGACCAACCTGAGTGAGGGGACAGGTTAGCCACATGGTAATGACACTGACAGGAGGAGAGACCAACCTGAGTGAGGGGACAGGTTAGCCACATGGTAATGACACTGACAGGAGGAGAGACCAACCTGAGTGAGAAGACAGGTTAGCTACATGTTAATGACACTGACAGGAGGAGAGACCAACCTGAGTGAGGAGACAGGTTAGCTACATGGTAATGACACTGACAGGAGGAGAGACCAACCTGAGTGAGGAGACAGGTTAGCTACATGGTAATGACACTGACAGGAGGAGAGACCAACCTGAGTGAGGGGACAGTTTAGCTACATGGTAATGACACTGACAGGAGGAGAGACCAACCTGAGTGAGGGGACAGGTTAGCTACATGGTAATGACACTGACAGGAGGAGAGACCAACCTGAGTGAGGGGACAGGTTAGCTACATGGTAATGACACTGACAGGAGGAGAGACCAACCTGAGTGAGGGGACAGGTTAGCTACATGGTAATGACACTGACAGGAGGAGAGACCAACCTGATTGAGGGGACAGGTTAGCTACATGGTAATGACACTGACAGGAGGAGAGACCAACCTGAGTGAGGGGACAGGTTAGCCACATGGTAATGACACTGACAGGAGGAGAGACCAACCTGAGTGAGGGGACAGGTTAGCTACATGGTAATGACACTGACAGGAGGAGAGACCAACCTGATTGAGGGGACAGGTTAGCTACATGGTAATGACACTGACAGGAGGAGAGACCAACCTGAGTGAGGGGACAGGTTAGCCACATGGTAATGACACTGACAGGAGGAGAGACCAACCTGAGTGAGGGGACAGGTTAGCTACATGGTAATGACACTGACAGGAGGAGAGACCAACCTGAGTGAGGGGACAGGTTAGCTACATGGTAATGACACTGACAGGATGAGAGACCAACCTGAGTGAGGGGACAGGTTAGCTACATGGTAATGACACTGACAGGAGGAGAGACCAACCTGTGTGAGGAGACAGGTTAGCCACATGGTAATGACACTGACAGGAGACCAACCTGAGTGAGGGGACAGGTTAGCTACATGGTAATGACACTGACAGGAGGAGAGACCAACCTGAGTGAGGGGACAGGTTAGCTACATGGTAATGACACTGACAGGAGGAGAGACCAACCTGAGTGAGGGGACAGGTTAGCTACATGGTAATGACACTGACAGGAGGAGAGACCAACCTGAGTGAGGGGACAGGTTAGCTACATGGTAATGACACTGACAGGATGAGAGACCAACCTGAGTGAGGGGACAGGTTAGCTACATGGTAATGACACTGACAGGAGGAGAGACCAACCTGAGTGAGGGGACAGGTTAGCTACATGGTAATGACACTGACAGGAGGAGAGACCAACCTGAGTGAGGGGACAGGTTAGCCACATGGTAATGACACTGACAGGAGGAGAGACCAACCTGAGTGAGGGGACAGGTTAGCTACATGGTAATGACACTGACAGGAGGAGAGACCAACCTGAGTGAGGGGACAGGTTAGCTACATGGTAATGACACTGACAGGAGGAGAGACCAACCTGAGTGAGGGGACAGGTGAAGTTAACCTCACTCTGCGTCACAGCAATGTCCTCATCCAGCTCCTCCTCCATATTCTCTGCTGCCTCAGGGTTCACTGATGTAGACAGAACATACACACAACATTGGTTTCCCAGTGACCATGATGCTAGTCTCTAGTCTACATAGAACTAGTGTGTGTGTGTGTGTGTGTGTGTGTGTGTGTGTGTGCGTGCGTGCGTGCGTATGCCTCACTTGTTTTGAGTGTGTTTCTGACGCTCTCCTTAAAGCTGACCAGCTTGACGTGGTTCTGTAGTTCTCCTTCAGACAGTCTGCCGTGTGTCTCAGTGAACTTCTCCTTCACCAAAGACTTCAGTCTGAACATGGCCTCAGGTTCCTGGTTCCTCACCTGGTGGGTATCATCAGACAGGTGTTATGGTGGACAGGTGTGTTAACCCTAACCTCCTGATTCCTCACCTGGTGGGCAGGAGGCAAGTATCACCAGACAGGTGTGTTAACCCAAACCTCCTGGTTCCTCACCTGGTGGGGCAGGAGGCAAGTATCACTAGACAGGTGTATTAACCCTAACCTCCTGGTACCTCACCTGGTGGGCAGGAGGCAGATATCACCAGACAGGTGTGTTAACCCTAACCTCCTGGTACTTCACCTAGTAGGCAGGAGGCAGGTATCATCAGACAGGTGTTATGGTGGACAGGTGTGTTAACCCTAACCTCCTTGTACATCACCTGGTGGGCAGGTGGCAATTAGCATATAATCATCAAGCTCTTGATTAGTTGAATCAGGGTCATATTCATTAGAGCACACTGTAGCAAAACGCTTCGCAGTGGAAAATAAAACTAAGAGTTTCATATATTGGACAAGATCAGGTAGTACCTCCCTGTTTCAGACCGCTTTGAGACCCCTTTAAGACCCCGTTGCCCCTTAAAGACCCCGTTGCCCCTTAAAGACCCCGTTGCCCCTTAAAGACCCCGTTGCCCCTTAAAGACCCCGTTGCCCCTTAAAGAGTTCTGTTGAGCAGTTGTGCCTAAACCATGCTTAAAACTTAAATGATGCAGCACGCAATTTTAGGAGTAGCGAAATAAATATGGTAGCAATGGAAAGCTGGGATCCCCCTCTTTCTTAACAAAGGCCAAAAGTGATAACGTAGAGGCTTTGAAGGACTTGACCAGCAGCTACAGTAGGCTATACACTGATGTTTGAGGATCTACACTGATCTCAAAAAATGACATCTCCAGAATCCATCTGACGGAAATCCGTCACAATGACGGAGAACTTGAACCCCTGTAGTCCCCTACTCACCTCTGCAGTGACATAGTCCACCACCTCAACGAAGCAGTTGATCTCCCGGTCCAGTTTGGCACACTCCAGCATCATCAAGTCTAGCTTCTTCAGGACTGCATCATTCTCAGTTCCTGGAATATACAATACAATGCCTTCAAATCTTGCATACTGTTGGTTATGGTGGCACAAGCTTCCAAATGATAGCATGCCATAGCTCTCTGTCTTCTGTGCTTCGTAGAAATCTGAAACCCCCAAACTGGAATGCTATACTCGCACTCAATTACTCAAAATACAAAAAGTTGAAGTACTTGAACCAGACAATTGTATGGGAGATGGACTGATGTGTACCCAGGGATGAAAATTAAGCTAGTCCGCGGCTAGTGCTTTTCAGACCGGGCTAGTAGAAAATGTGTCCAACTAGTCCGCGGCTAGTGCTTTTCAGACCAGGCTAGTAGAAAATGTGTCAAACTCCCGGGCTCCCGAGTGGCCTAAGGCACTGCATCTCAGTGCTTGAGGCGTCACTACAGACCCCCTGGTTCGATTCCAGGCTGTATCACAACCGGCTGTGATTGGGATTCCCATAGGGCTGCACACAATTGGCCCAGCGTCATCCGGGTTTGGCCGGTGTAGGCCGTCATTGTAAATAAGAATTTGCTCTTAACTGACTTGCCTAGTTAAATAAAGGTAAAATAAAATAAATAACTAGGCTGCTGGCTAGCGAGATTTAATATTTTCAAATATCGCATGGCACAGATTTTTGACCTGGGCTAGTAAAAATGTCAATATACTTGCCCTGCTGACCAGTTCCCAAAATCCTCAAGTTCCATCCCTGTGTTCCGCTCCACTTTCTAGTTACGTCAGTCAGTCAGTACCATTGACTATATACAAAGGGTCTGTCCAGTGAGAAGGATTCAACAAAGATATTATCTGCACAGTAAAGTCCCAGTGTCTCTCTGACAGAGATGTGCCATTAACCTACCTGCTGTTTCTGCCACATCCAGCGCAACGTCTGTCACAATGTCCATCCCAGTTCCAATATCTGGCTGACATGTTTTCAGACTAGACAGCGTGGAGTGGACTGCACTCAAGGACATGTTGAAATCTAAAACATGCAAGTATCTGAAACAAGAGATGCAAGTTGTTATAATATTAGGGCCCTGTGTTTTGGTTAATCATGCTTGTCACCTGGGTTTTAACCTTTATTTAAAGCTTTTTCATTAAACGGTGCCCTTTTCTTTTTCTTTTTGGTCTAATACTAATTTCTAGAAATGGCTTAAAATAAAAGGTTAAAATCCAGGTCATGTGACATGATGAACCAAAACACAGGGACCTAGTTAAAATGGATCAACATTATTAACCAAAACACAGGGACCTAGTTATAATGGATCAACATTATTAAATAAGACACAGGGACCTAGTTATAATAGGTCAAGCCACCCTCTGTGGACTGGAGCAGATGCCAGGATGGCCAACCCTACCCCTGGATAACTGGTGTGCAGGTTTTTGTTCCAGCCCTGCTCAAAACACACCGGATTCAGTTGCTCACCAATACCTTGATTAGTTTAGTTAATGTTAGAGCAAGGCTGGAACAATAACCTGCATACGGTCACAAAACAAGTTATCTGTAGCTACCTTCAGGTTGCATTCACGTATCATCAACAAGTGCACTAGCTAACTAGCTAGCTACTAGCTAACTAGCTAGCTACTAGCTATGTTGATTTCTGGCTAGCCGGCTAACGTTACGCTAAAAACACTAACTATGGCTAAGCAAGCATGCCAATAAATAGCTCGCTAACCTCACGACTTACCTCGCTGGGAAGGGATATACTGGTTGTCGAAGTGTTCTTTAATGTGTTGGTGCCTAAATATGAGAAAACACTAAACAACTTTAGCTAGCTAGCTATATAAAATTACCGGGAAAAGTTTGTTGTTGCTTGCTCTTCCGGTTTCTCTTGAGGAAGTGAGGAAGTCCAGCTAGACATTCCTTCAAAATAAAAGTCTCGAACTACTTTAACTTGTGCGCTTATATGGGGATCAGAACAGTTAATGTTGTTGTTTCTTGGATTTTTTTATGTTTTAACAGTTCTGTCATACTTATTTTCTTTGCAAGTATCTATTCACATACCACAAAGTGACAGTACACAAAGTTGGCAACATGTAATGATATTAAAAAACATATACAAAACAATCAGAGCATCCCTTCACTTTCTGGTTAGGCCTACCACCTATGACTGTCAGATCAGCAGAGACAGTATAAAAGGTTCTATGACTGTCAGATCAGCAGAGCCGGTATAAAAGGTTATATGACTGTCAGCTCAGCAAAGACGGTATAAAAGGTTCTATGACTGTCAGCTCAGCAGAGACGGTATAAAAGGTTCTATGACTGTCAGCTCAGCAAAGACGGTATAAAAGGTTCTATGACTGTAAGCTCAGCAGAGCCGGTATAAAAGGTTCTATGACTGTCAGCTCAGCAGAGACGGTATAAAAGGTTCTATGACTGTCAGCTCAGCAGAGCCAGTATAAAAGGTTCTATGACTGTCAGATCAGCAGAGACGGTATAAAAGGTTCTATGACTGTCAGATCAGCAGAGACGGTATAAAAGGTTCTATGACTGTCAGCTCAGCAAAGACGGTATAAAAGGTTCTATGACTGTCAGCTCAGTAGAGCCGGTATAAAAGGTTCTATGACTGTCAGCTCAGCAGAGACGGTATAAAAGGTTCTATGACTGTCAGCTCAGCAGAGATGGTATAAAAGGTTATGACTGTCAGCTCAGCAGAGACGGTATAAAAGGTTAAATGACTGTCAGCTCAGCAGAGATGGTATAAAAGGTTCTATGACTGTCAGATCAGCAGAGACGGTATAAAAGGTTAAATGACTGTCAGCTCAGCAGAGATGGTATAAAAGGTTCTATGACTGTCAGCTCAGCAGAGATGGTATAAAAGGTTATGACTGTCAGCTCAGCAGAGACGGTATAAAAGGTTAAATGACTGTCAGCTCAGCAGAGACCATAAAAAAGGTTAAATGACTGTCAGCTCAGCAGAGACCATATAAAAGGTTAAATGACTGTCAGCTCAGCAGAGACCATATAAAAGGTTAAATGACTGTCAGCTCAGCAGAGATGGTATAAAAGGTTCTATGACTGTCAGATCAGCAGAGATGGTATAAAATGTTCTATGACTGTCAGCTCAGCAGAGATGGTATAAAAGGTTATGACTGTCAGCTCAGCAGAGACGGTATAAAAGGTTAAATGACTGTCAGCTCAGCAGAGATGGTATAAAAGGTTCTATGACTGTCAGATCAGCAGAGCCAGTATAAAAGGTTCTATGACTGTCAGATCAGCAGAGACAGTATAAAAGTTTCTATGACTGTCAGATCAGCAGAGCCAGTATAAAAGGTTAAATGACTGTCAGATCAGTAGAGACGGTATAAAAGGTTCTATGACTGTCAGATCAGCAGATATGGTATAAAAGGTTCTATGACTGTCAGCTCAGCAGAGCCAGTATAAAAGGTTCTATGACTGTCAGATCAGCAGAGACGGTATAAAAGGTTCTATGACTGTCAGATCAGCAGAGACGGTATAAAAGGTTCTATGACTGTCAGCTCAGCAAAGACGGTATAAAAGGTTCTATGACTGTCAGCTCAGTAGAGCCGGTATAAAAGGTTCTATGACTGTCAGCTCAGCAGAGACGGTATAAAAGGTTCTATGACTGTCAGCTCAGCAGAGATGGTATAAAAGGTTATGACTGTCAGCTCAGCAGAGACGGTATAAAAGGTTCTATGACTGTCAGCTCAGCAGAGCCAGAATAAAAGGTTCTATGACTGTCAGATCAGCAGAGACGGTATAAAAGGTTCTATGACTGTCAGATCAGCAGAGACAGTATAAAAGGTTCTATGACTGTCAGCTCAGCAAAGACGGTATAAAAGGTTCTATGACTGTCAGCTCAGTAGAGCCGGTATAAAAGGTTCTATGACTGTCAGCTCAGCAGAGACGGTATAAAAGGTTCTATGACTGTCAGCTCAGCAGAGATGGTATAAAAGGTTATGACTGTCAGATCAGCAGAGACGGTATAAAAGGTTCTATGACTGTCAGATCAGCAGAGACGGTATAAAAGGTTCTATGACTGTCAGCTCAGCAAAGACGGTATAAAAGGTTCTATGACTGTCAGCTCAGTAGAGCCGGTATAAAAGGTTATAGACTGTCAGCTCAGCAGAGACGATATAAAAGGTTCTATGACTGTCAGCTCAGCAGAGCCAGTATAAAAGGTTATGACTGTCAGCTCAGCAGAGATGGTATAAAAGGTTATATGACTGTCAGCTCAGCAGAGCCAGTATAAAAGGTTCTATGACTGTCAGCTCAGCAGAGATGGTATAAAAGGTTCTATGACTGTCAGATCAGCAGAGACGGTATAAAAGGTTAAATGACTGTCAGCTCAGCAGAGACGGTACAAAAGGTTAAATGACTGTCAGCTCAGCAGAGATGGTATAAAAGGTTCTATGACTGTCAGCTCAGCAGAGATGGTATAAAAGGTTATGACTGTCAGCTCAGCAGAGACGGTATAAAAGGTTAAATGACTGTCAGCTCAGCAGAGACGGTACAAAAGGTTAAATGACTGTCAGCTCAGCAGAGCCAGTATAAAAGGTTAAATGACTGTCAGCTCAGCAGAGACCATATAAAAGGTTAAATGACTGTCAGCTCAGCAGAGACCATATAAAAGGTTAAATGACTGTCAGCTCAGCAGAGACCATATAAAAGGTTAAATGACTGTCAGCTCAGCAAAGCCAGTATAAAAGGTTCTATGACTGTCAGATCAGCAGAGCTGGTATAAAATGTTCTATGACTGTCAGCTCAGCAAAGACGGTATAAAAGGTTAAATGACTGTCAGCTCAGCAGAGACGGTATAAAAGGTTCTATGACTGTCAGCTCAGTAGAGACGGTATAAAAGGTTCTATGACTGTCAGCTCAGCAGAGATGGTATAAAAGGTTCTATGACTGTCAGATCAGCAGAGATGGTACAAAAGGTTAAATGACTGTCAGCTCAGCAGAGATGGTATAAAAGGTTCTATGACTGTCAGATCAGCAGAGACGGTATAAAAGGTTAAATGACTGTCAGCTCAGCAGAGATGGTATAAAAGGTTCTATGACTGTCAGATCAGCAGAGACGGTATAAAAGGTTCTATGACTGTCAGATCAGCAGAGACGGTATAAAAGGTTAAATGACTGTCAGATCAGCAGAGACGGTATAAAAGGTTCTATGACTGTCAGATCAGCAGAGACGGTATAAAAGGTTAAATGACTGTCAGCTTAGCAGAGATGGTATAAAAGGTTCTATGACTGTCAGCTCAGCAGAGATGGTATAAAAGGTTATGACTGTCAGCTCAGCAGAGACGGTATAAAAGGTTAAATGACTGTCAGCTCAGCAGAGACGGTACAAAAGGTTAAATGACTGTCAGCTCAGCAGAGATGGTATAAAAGGTTCTATGACTGTCAGCTCAGCAGAGATGGTATAAAAGGTTATGACTGTCAGCTCAACAGAGACGGTATAAAAGGTTAAATGACTGTCAGCTCAGCAGAGACGGTACAAAAGGTTAAATGACTGTCAGCTCAGCAGAGCCAGTATAAAAGGTTAAATGACTGTCAGCTCAGCAGAGACCATATAAAAGGTAAAATGACTGTCAGCTCAGCAGAGACCATATAAAAGGTTAAATGACTGTCAGCTCAGCAGAGATGGTATAAAAGGTTCTATGACTGTCAGATCAGCAGAGACGGTATAAAAGGTTATGACTGTCAGCTCAGCAGAAATGGTACAAAAGGTTAAATGACTGTCAGCTCAGCAGAGACGGTACAAAAGGTTAAATGACTGTCAGCTCAGCAGAGACCATATAAAAGGTTAAATGACTGTCAGCTCAGCAGAGACCATATAAAAGGTTAAATGACTGTCAGCTCAGCAGAGACCATATAAAAGGTTAAATGACTGTCAGCTCAGCAAAGCCAGTATAAAAGGTTCTATGACTGTCAGCTCAGCAAAGACGGTATAAAAGGTTAAATGACTGTCAGCTCAGCAGAGACGGTATAAAAGGTTCTATGACTGTCAGCTCAGTAGAGACGGTATAAAAGATTCTATGACTGTCAGCTCAGTAGAGACGGTATAAAAGGTTCTATGACTATCAGCTCAGCAGAGATGGTATAAAAGGTTCTATGACTGTCAGATCAGCAGAGACGGTATAAAAGGTTAAATGACTGTCAGCTCAGCAGAGAGGGAGGATGGGAGCGTGAGAGAGAGAGAGGGATGGGAGCGTGAGAGAGGCAGAGAGAGGGATGGGAGCGTGAGAGAGGCAGAGAGAGAGAGAGGATGGGAGCGCGAGAGAGGCAGAGAGAGAGAGAGAGGGGACGGGAGCGCGAGAGAGGCAGAGAGAGAGAGAGAGAGAGGGGACGGGAGTGCGAGAGAGGCAGAGAGAGAGAGAGGACAGGAGCGTGAGAGAGGCAGAGAGAGAGAGCAGTGACTTTACTTTTTCTTGAATTTATCTCTGTGTGCAGGTGGAGAGAAACAGATCTCTTGCTGGCAGGAGGTCATTCTAAACGATCTCTGCTGTCAGTACATAGTAGGTGCAGGAAGCTATTATACCTGCAGCAGTCTTGGTGTTCAGTCAGACAGTCGGTGAAGGAAGAGTTCAGACAACATGGAGCATGCCACACTGTGTGCTACTCTGTGAGTAATGTGTCAGAGAAGGAAGAGTTCAGACAACATGGAGCATGCCTCACTGTGTGCTACTCTGTGAGTACTGTGTCAGAGAAGGAAGAGTTCAGACAACATGGAGCATGCATCTGTGTGCTACTCTGTGAGTACTGTGTCAGAGAAGGAAGAGTTCAGACAACATGGAGCATGCCTCACTGTGTGCTACTCTGTGAGTACTGTGTCAGAGAAGGAAGAGTTCAGACAACATGGAGCATGCCTCTCTGTGTGCTACTCTGTGAGTACTGTGTCAGAGAAGGAATAGTTCAGACAGCATGGAGCATGCCTCACTGTGTGCTACTCTGTGAGTACTGTGTCAGAGAAGGAATAGTTCAGACAGCATGGAGCATGCCTCACTGTGTGCTACTCTGTGAGTACTGTGTCAGAGAAGGAAGAGTTCAGACAGCATGGAGCATGCCTCACTGTGTGCTACTCTGTGAGTACTGTGTCAGAGAAGGAAGAGTTCAGACAACATGGAGCACGCCTCACTGTGTGCTACTCTGTGAGTACTGTGTCAGAGAAGGAAGAGTTCAGACAACATGGAGCACGCCTCTCTGTGTGCTACTCTGTGAGTACTGTGTCAGAGAAGGAATAGTTCAGACAGCATGGAGCATGCCTCACTGTGTGCTACTCTGTGAGTACTGTGTCAGAGAAGGAAGAGTTCAGACAGCATGGAGCATGCCTCACTGTGTGCTACTCTGTGATTACTGTGTCAGAGAAGGAAGAGTTCAGACAACATGGAGCATGCCTCACTGTGTGCTACTCTGTGAGTACTGTGTCAGAGAAGGAAGAGTTCAGACAACATGGAGCATGCATCTGTGTGCTACTCTGTGAGTACTGTGTCAGAGAATCTGGTCTCATTGAGGAAGTCCTGAAGAAGTCGAGCCAGACATTCCTTGAAAATAAAAGCCACCCAACAACTGTAAATTGCTTGGATTTAGAATGTTTTTAAAGTTATGTAATACGAAATAAAAATCAAATCAACAAAATATACACCATTAGATTTATTCAAAGCCTCTTTTGCATATACCACAGTGATAGTTTACAAAGTTGCCAACACATGATGTTATTAAAAAACCTTCAACTATTTACAGTGTAATTAGTGCATTACCACATTATTGGTCATTATGTAATGAAGAGCTTAAGGTAAAATGAATGAATCAACAGAAATTAAAAGACGAAGCCTCTATCCAGATCTTCACAGGACTGTCCTGAACTCGTCAAAGATGAAACTTGGCACATGGGCCTCGGCCACCTTTGAAGACAGAAAACAGCAACAGATTATTATATGGATGTAAAATGTAATATTGTAGAGAATATCTATGGGAACAGATGATATGCATGTAAATATTCCAGAGAATATATATAGTATTTTTTCATGGGTGTTGTTGCTAATCCTAATCTAATCCTACCTTGCGAGGCAGCTTGGTGTAGCGTACGTAATCTTCCAGAAACATCAGTGCTCCCACCACATCAGACGGCATGTCCGGGATCCTCTGACTGTAAAGGAATTATTACTGTAAACTCTGGCTGGAAAGGAATTATTACTGTAAACTCAATTTCATTGAATTTGAAGTAGAATATAATCCACATATAATAGCACAGTGATCACAAATAATTTATGAAATTTACTTAATTTTGCATTCAAATTGTATTTATACAGGTTATTCCCATCGAGATAACATTTATTTTTGCAAGAAAGAGCTGTTTGAAATAGCAGCCTTGGGCAACGTACCAACACTAAAGTCAGACGTATTTAAATTTTGAAAATGTAATACATGTACGAATTATATTTTCACAATTTAAATAAGTCTGACTTTACTGTGATATCAGGTTCTTAAAATATGTTTTTTTTTTCAACTGGAAAATAAAAATCAAATCAATCAATCAAAGGACTGGTGAGTACAGTACCTGGTGCACTGGTCCATGATAGAGCGTATGAATTGCCCAATGAGAGCCAGGAAGTGCTCTGTGTATCTGGAATGGAACTGCTTGAGCAGAGTGAGCAGGCCTAGAACCAGAGGAGGCCAGTCTACCGGGTCTGTGGCTTTCCTGCACGTCATCCCTAGAGAAATGGGAGAGCAAAGCTAATCACATGGTGGACTCTCAACGCAACATGGGTCAGGACCAGAGATTACATTTTTTATTACATATTTTTGGATTACTCATTTTTACAGATTATATATACAGTGAGGGAAAAAAGTATTTGATCCCCTGCTGATTTTGTACATTTGCCCACTGACAAAGAAATGATCAGTCTATAATTTTAATGGTAGGTTTATTTGAACAGTGAGAGACAGAATAACAACAAAAAAATCCTGAAAAACGCATGTAAAAAATGTTATAAATTGATTAGCATTTTAATGAGGGAAATAAGTATTTGACCCCCTCTCAATCAGAAAGATTTCTGGCTCCCAAGTGTCTTTTATACAGGTAACGAGCTGAGATTAGGAGCACACTCTTAAATGGAGTGCTCCTAATCTCATCTTGTTACCTGTACAAAAGACACCTGTCCACAGAAGCAATCAATCAATCAGATTCAAAACTCTCCACCATGGCCAAGACCAAAGAGCTCTCCAAGGATGTCAGGGACAAGATTGTAGACCTACACAAGGCTGGAATGGGCTACAAGACCATCGCCAAGCAGCTTTATGAGAAGGTGACAACAGTTGGTGCGATTATTCGCAAATGGAAGAAACACAAAATAACTGTCAATCGCCCTCGGCCTGGGGCTCCATGCAAGATCTCACCTCGTGGAGTTGCAATGATCATGAGAACAGTGAGGAATCAGCCCAGAACTACACGGGAGGATCTTGTCAATGATCTCAAGGCAGTTGGGACCATAGTCACCAAGAAAACAATTGGTAACACACTACGCCGTGAAGGACTGAAATCCTGCAGCGCCCGCAGGTCCCCCTGCTCAAGAAAGCACATATACAGGCCCGTCTGAAGTTTGCCAATGAACATCTGAATGATTCAGAGGAGAACTGGGTGAAAGTGTTGTGGTCAGATGAGATCAAAATTGAGCTCTTTGGTATCAACTCAACTCGCCGTGTTTGGAGGAGGAGGAATGCTGCCTATGACCCCAAGAACACCATCCCCACCGTCAAACATGGAGGTGGAAACATTATGCTTTGGGGGTGTTTTTCTGCTAAGGGGACAGGACAACTTCACCGCATCAAAGGGACGATGGACGGGGCCATGTACCGTCAAATCTTGGGTGAGAACCTCCTTCCCTCAGCCAGGGCATTGAAAATGGGTCGTGGATGGGTATTCCAGCATGACAATGACCCAAAACACACGGCCAAGGCAACAAAGGAGTGGCTCAAGAAGAAGCACATTAAGGTCCTGGAGTGGCTTAGCCAGTCTCCAGACCTTAATCCCATAGAAAATCTGGGGAGGGAGCTGAAGGTTCGAGTTGCCAAACGTCAGCCTCGAAACCTTAATGACTTGGAGAAGATCTGCAAAGAAGAGCGGGGCAAAATCCCTCCTGAGATGTGTGCAAACCTGGTGGCCAACTACAAGAAACGTCTGACCTCTTTGATTGCCAACAAGGGTTTTGCCACCAAGTACTAAGTCATGTTTTGCAGAGGGGTCAAATACTTATTTCCCTCATTAAAATGCAAATCAATTTATAACATTTTTGCCACGCGTTTTTCTGGATTTTGTTGTTGTTATTCTGTCTCTCAATGTTCAAATAAACCTATCATTAAAATTATAGACTGATCATGTCTTTGTCAGTGGGCAAACGTACAAAATCAGCAGGGGATCAAATACTTTTTCCCCTCACTGTATATATATATATACATACACACACACACACACATATATATATATATACACGTAGGAGGGCAACAACCCAGCAGCAGGACCGCTACCTCCGCCTTTGTGCAAGGAGGAGCAGGAGGAGCACTGCCAGAGCCCTGCAAAATGACATCCAGCAGGCCACAAATGTGCATGTGTCTGCTCAAACGGTCAGAAACAGACTCCATGAGGGTGGTATGAGGGCCCAACGTCCACAGGTGGGGGTTGTGCTTACAGCCCAACACCGTGCAGGACGTTTGGCATTTGCCAGAGAACACCAAGATTGGCAAATTCGCCACTGGCGCCCTGTGCTCTTCACAGATGAAAGCAGGTTCACACTGAGCACATGTGACAGACGTGACAGAGTCTGGAGACGCCGTGGAGAACGTTCTGCTGCCTGCAACATCCTCCAGCATGACCGGTTTGGCGGTGGGTCAGTCATGGTGTGGGGTGGCATTTCTTTGGGGGGCCACACAGCCCTCCATGTGCTTGCCAGAGGTAGCCTGACTGCCATTAGGTACCGAGATGAGATCCTCAGACCCCTTGTGAGACCACATGCTGGTGCGGTTGGCCCTGGGTTCCTCCTAATGCAAGACAATGCTAGACCTCATGTGGCTGGAGTGTGTCAGCAGTTCCTGCAAGAGGAAGGCATTGATGCTATGGACTGGCCCGCCCGTTCCCCAGACCTGAATCCAATTGAGCACATCTGGGACATCATGTCTCGCTCCATCCACCAACGCCACGTTGCACCACAGACTGTCCAGGAGTTGGCGGATGCTTTAGTCCAGGTCTGGGAGGAGATCCCTCAGGAGACCATCCGCCACCTCATCAGGAGCATGCCCAGGCGTTGTAGGGAGGTCATACAGGCACGTGGAGGCCACACACACTACTGAGCCTCATTTTGACTTGTTTTAAGGACATTACATCAAAGTTGGATCAGCCTGTAGTGTGGTTTTCCACTTTCATTTAGAGTGTGACTCCAAATCCAGACCTCCATGGGTTGATACATTTGATTTCCATTGATATTTTTTTTTTTTTTTTTTTTTTACTGACAGATCAAATCAATAATAATAATAATAATAATAATAATAATAATATGCCATTTAGCAGACGCTTTTATCCAAAGCGACTTACAGTCATGCGTGCATACATTTTTTGTGTATGGGTGGTCCCGGGGATCGAACCCACTACCTTGGCGTTACAAGCGCCGTGCTCTACCAGCTGAGCTACAGAGGACCACTACAGAGGACCAACCCCAGTCATCAATCAAGCCCAGAGCATAACATATGAAAGCATTAAGCAACACTTATCCCCAATGTGGTTCTCCATGGGCAATACAGACAGGAGGACTAATAAAAGCCATCATCATGTTAATTGCTCCCCTTGGCTGTACTGAAGATGATGCGTCTCTATGGCTGCCTTTACACAGGCACGCCAATTCAGAGCTTTTTTCACTCATTGGTCTTTTGACCAATCAGATCAGCTCTTTTGTCAATAATTGGGCTGCCTTTTGCCTTCAGAACAGCATCAATTTCATCGGGGCATGGACAATACAAGGTGTCGAAAACGTTCCACATGGAAGCTGGCCCATGTTAACCCCGATGCTTCCCACAGTTGTGTCAAGTTGGCTGGATGTCCTTTGGGTGGTGGACCATTCTTGATACACACAGGAAACCTTTGAGTGTGAAAAACCCAGCAGCGTTGCAGTTCTTAACAAAACCGGTGCGCCTGGCACTAGAGGTCTGCGGGACAGATTTATTCTTCCCGCTTCCGCCCGCAGCTTTTCATACCGCACCCCGCCCGCTGGCTTTCTGTCCGACTCCCACCCGCTACCACAAGAACTGGTCCCAACCCAACCCCAGTCACTTGCCAGCAATGGTCCCAGCAAAAAAATAACGTAAGAAATAGGTTAAATTCCCAGAGATTCTCACGTGGCCCATTATATTAGGTTATCTGTATTACTGGGCTATACCAGCCAATATGCTAGATGTAGTTTGAAGAGAGCAGAGTTGGAGAGACTTGCACGTTCTCTTGAGCTATTTTTATAACCTATCTTTTAGGTGTGGGAAGAGTGTGGGTGATCAATATTTATTTCTAGGCAATATAGCCTAATCAAAGATAACTGCCCCGTGCTTCTCCGCCCATGCATAGTCTATAGCCTACTCTATTTAACTGAGACAACATGCGCACCTGCTCTCGCAGGTATGGCTACTGAACTGGAAGCAGCAACACTTGCTATGTTTTGCACAGTCCTATAGGATATAGCCTACCTTTTAAAGGCCGATTTGCAGGCAGAGACAAATAAATGGGTAATCAATACTTATTGAAAATGATAAGGCACAACGCTCGCTCACCATAGTAGCCTGACCTATGCTCACCATAGTAGCCTGACCTATGCTCACCATAGTAGCCTAACCTATCACCATAGTAGCCTGACCTATGCTCACCATAGTAGCCTAAACTATCACCATAGTAGCCTGACCTATGCTCACCATAGTAGCCTGACCTATGCTCACCATAGTAGCCTGACCTATGCTCACCATAGTAGCCGAACCTATCACCATAGTAGCCTGACCTATGCTCACCATAGTAGCCTGACCTATGCTCACCATAGTAGCCTAACCTATGCTCACCATAGTAGCCTAAACTATCACCATAGTCGCCTGACCTATGCTCACCATAGTAGCCTAAACTATCACCATAGTAGCCTGACCTATGCTCACCATAGTAGCCTGACCTATGCTCACCATAGTAGCCTAACCTATCACCATAGTAGCCTAACCTATGCTCACCATAGTCGCCTGACCTATGCTCACCATAGTAGCCTGACCTATGCTCACCATAGTAGCCTGACCTATGCTCACCATAGTAGCCTAACCTATGCTCACCATAGTAGCCTAACCTATGCTCACCATAGTAACCTAACCTATGCTCACCATAGTAGCCTAACCTATGCTCACCATAGTAGCCTGACCTATGCTCACCATAGTAGCCTAACCTATGCTCACCATAGTAACCTGACCTAAGCTCACCATAGTAGCCTAACCTATGCTCACCATAATAACCTGACCTATGCTCACCATAGTAGCCTGACCTATGCTCACCATAGTAGCCTGACCTATGCTCACCATAGTAGCCTGACCTATGCTCACCATAGTAGCCTGACCTATGCTCACCATAGTAGCCTAACCTATCACCATAGTAGCCTGACCTATGCTCACCATAGTCGCCTAACCTATGCTCACCATAGTCGCCTGACCTATGCTCACCATAGTAGCCTGACCTATGCTCACCATAGTAGCCTAACCTATGCTCACCATAGTAGCCTAACCTATGCTCACCATAGTAACCTAACCTATGCTCACCATAGTAGCCTAAACTATGCTCACCATAGTAGCCTGACCTATGCTCACCATAGTAGCCTAACCTATGCTCACCATAGTAACCTGACCTAAGCTCACCATAGTAGCCTAACCTATGCTCACCATAGTAACCTGACCTATGCTCACCATAGTAGCCTAACCTATGCTCACCATAGTAGCCTAACCTATCACCATAGTAGCCTGACCTATGCTCACCATAGTAGCCTAACTTATGCTCACCATAGTAGCCTAACCTATCACCATAGTAGCCTGACCTATGCTCACCATAGTAGCCTGACCTAAGCTCACCATAGTAGCCTGGCCTATGCTCACCATAGTAGCCTGACCTATGCTCACCATAGTAGACTAACCTATGCTCACCATAGTAGCCTGACCTATGCTCACCATAGTAGCCTAACCTATGCTCACCATAGTAGCCTAACCTATGCTCACCATAGTAGCCTAACCTATGCTCACCATAGTAGCCTAACCTATGCTCACCATAGTAGCCTAACCTATGATCACCATAATAACCTGACCTATTCTCGCTATACACCAAGTCACTTGGCTCTGTCATATCCTCACATGGCCTCTCCTATCATTGCTACGCAGACGACACACAACTAATCTTCTCCTTTCCCCCTTCTGATAACCAGGTGGCGAATCGCATCTCTGCATGTCTGGCAGACATATCAATGTGGATGACGGATCACCACCTCAAGCTGAACCTCGGCAAGACGGAGATGCTCTTCCTCCCGGGGAAGGACTGCCCGTTCCATGATCTCGCCATCACGGTTGACAACTCCGTTGTGTCCTCCTCCCAGAGTGCAAAGAGCCTTGGCGTGACCCTGGACAACACCCTGTCGTTCTCCGCTAACATCAAGGCGGTGACCCGATCCTGTAGGTTCATGCTCTACAACATTAGGAGAGTACGACCCTGCCTTACACAGGAAGCGGCACAGGTCCTAATCCAGGCACTTGTCATCTCCCGTCTGGATTACTCCAACTCACTGTTGGCTGGGCTCCCTGCCTGTGCCATTAAACCCCTACAACTCATCCAGAATGCCGCAGCCCGTCTGGTGTTCAACCTTCCCAAGTTCTCTCACGTCACCCCGCTCCTCCGCACACTCCACTGGCTTCCAGTTGAAGCCTGCATCTGCTACAAGACCATGGTGCTTGCCTACGGAGCTGTGAGGGGAACGGCACCTCCGTACCTTCAGGCTCTGATCAGTCCCTACACCCAAACGAGGGCATTGCGTTCATCCACCTCTGGCCTGCTGGCCCCCCTACCTCTGCGGAAGCACAGTTCCCACTCAGCCCAGTCAAAACTGTTCGCTGCACAAGCTCCCTCACGACGCCAGGACAGCGGAGTCACTCACACCCTTCCGGAGACACTTGAAACCCCACCTCTTTAAGGAATACATGGGATAGGATAAAGTAATCCTTCTACCCCCCCTTGTGTCATATGCTGGTGAAAAAATCAATTTCCCCTGTGAGTATCAATAAAGTTGATTGAAACTCACCTTGATTTTTGCTGTACTGCAGTTTAGGCAGATGAGCGAAGATGAAGAGGAAGTTGACGATAGGAAAGTAAGGCAGGCGCTTGGTTGTAATGTAGATCTACAACATATAGAACAGGTGAAGTAAGGCAGGTGCTTGGTTGTAATGTAGATCTACAACATATAGAACAGGTGAAGTAAGGCAGGCGCTTGGTTGTAATGTAGATCTACAACATATAGAACAGGTGAAGTAAGGCAGGCGCTTGGTTGTAATGTAGATCTACAACATATAGAACAGGTGAAGTAAGGCAGGCGCTATGTTGTAATGTAGATCTACAACATGAACAAACAATTCCAATCAACAGGTTAGTTTCATCAGCTGTTGTACAAAATCTTACAAAACATTTGACTGCACTGGTGCTTTAAGGTAAAATGAATGAATCAACATAAATTAAATGATGAAGCCTCTATCCAGATCTTCACAGGACTGTCCTGAACTCGTCAAAGATTAAACTTGGCACATGGGCCTCGGCCACCTTTGAAGACAGAAGATCGAGCACACCGCCATATGCAATCTCCATAGACAAACATTGGCAGTAGAATGGCCTTAGTGAAGAGCCCAGTGACTTTCAACGTGGCACTGTCATAGGATGCCACCTTTCGAAGAAGAAAGAAGGAAGAAAGAAGCAGAAGAAGTAGAGAAGAAGAAAGAAGAAACTAATAAGAAGAAGAATAAGAGAAGAAGAATAAGAAGAGAAGAAGAGAGAAGAAGAAGAAGAAGAAGAAGAGAAGAAAGAAAAGAAGAAGATAAAAGAATAAAGAAGAGAAGAAAGAAGAAGAAGACAAAAGAAGAAGAAGAAGAGAATACCTCATCCTCCTCCGCCTCCTCCGCATCCTCCTCTCCCGCCTCCGCCTCCTCCCCGTCCTCCTCCTCCCTTCCTCCTCCTCCTCCTCCTCCTCCTCTCCTCCTCCGCCCCGCCTCCGCCTCCTCCGCCTCCTCCGCCTCCGCACGCCGCCGCCTCCGCCGCCGCCTCCGCCGCCTCCTCCGCTCCGCCGCCGCCCCTCCCGCCTCCGCCTCCGACCTCTCCTGCCGCCTCCTCCGCCTCCCCTCCTCCTCCCTCCTCCTCTTCTTCCTCTTCCTATCCTCCTATTCTCATTCTCTACTCCTCATCGTATCCCTCACCTTGTTGAGTGGGTTGTGTATGCCTGCTGCCTCCAGAGAGGCTGTGATCTCATACAGTAGATTGTTGTCCTCCTTGGGGTATGGAAGGCTGGGGTCCTGGTAGTGGGCTTCTATATCAGCCAGTAGAGACCTACAGTAGATACATCATTCAGCAGACACCTGACCATTCAACACACCCTTTAAATGACTGGCAATCATTATTATAGCAACATTCCTTTACAGGGTTCCTTCCCACTCTTAAGCAGAGTTTTCACAAGCAGACATATTCTGTTCTTTTGCCCAATTACTGGCAAAAGAGCTGATCCGATTGGTCAAAAGACCAATTAGCAGAAACATAGTGCAGCCTATGGCTATGACCAAAACACAAAATGATGACTTTTCCATGTCTACTGATAAGAAATTCCATGACAATGGCCATCCTTTTCATGACAAGCGAGAATCACTCTTTGCATTTCAAAATAACAGTAACCCTTTACTTAAAGCCTGCAGGTATCCCATCCTTTATTATAATAAGCATGTATGAGCCTTCATAATGTCTTATAACAAGGCTTATAATATGTTATGTCTCTCTATGCATCATCCCCGATGGCCACTGACTTGTTGAGGTTCTCCAGTGCAGCAGCGAGGTGTTTGGAGTCAAACTTGCAGGAGTAGTTCAGCTCGTTGGCTATCTGTTGCCTCAGGATCTGCATCTGACCAACCTGTGGAAACATCTGTGTCACTTCCATACAGGGATTGAACCCCGGTCTCCGGTGGGGAGGGGTATATGTCTCTATGTCAAGACTTGAGACCTCTAGAGACTTCTAATAGATTGTATTTTTTTGTGTAGAAGACAGCCATCTTGTAATAAACCTTGAGGTACGTGTTATTGTGGCTGGTGTATTACCAGTACAGCTGGCTCTGCACTGGGTCACCTATCTTTGATTATAGTCTTCTAAATGCCGATCACTGAATATAGTGGTTATGTTGCTAATAACATTAAGTTGGTATTGCTAAAAACAGTTCAATAAAACACAGTACCTTCATGATCGATTCCAAGTATGGCCCCCAGATCTTCTGTGTTTTGGCAACAGCGTTGGTGTAGACTTTACTGGCATTTCCTGACAGAAAGAAGAGAAAGAAATGCAACAGTGAGTGATGATGGCCTGGACAGTCAACCAGAACCTAATGTTCCCTGGTCATAATCTCTGGGTCCTGGTCAGTGGGAGCCAGTGAGTGATGATGACCTGGACAGTCAACCAGAACCTAATGTTCCCTGGTCATAATCTCTGGGTCCTGGTCAGTGGGAGCCAGTGAGTGATGATGACCTGGACAGTCAACCAGAACCTAATGTTCCCTGGTCATAATCTCTGGGTCCTGGTCAGTGGGAGCCAGTGAGTGATGATGGCCTGGACAGTCAACCAGAACCTAATGTTCCCTGGTCATAATCTCTGGGTCCTGGTCAGTGGGAGCCAGTGAGTGATGATGACCTGGACAGTCAACCAGAACCTAATGTTCCCTGGTCATAATCTCTGGGTCCTGGTCAGTGGGAGCCAGTGAGTGATGATGGCCTGGACAGTCAACCAGAACCTAATGTTCCCTGGTCATAATCTCTGGGTCCTGGTCAGTGGGAGCCAGTGAGTGATGATGGCCTGGACAGTCAACCAGAACCTAATGTTCCCTGGTCATAATCTCTGGGTCCTGTTCATTGGGCACCAAATGGAAGAAAATGGACTGAAACAGGGAGGGACTTCCTGGATTAGTCTCAATAAGACAAACTCATTTTTTGTTTTCCGCTGAAATAAGTTTTAAACAACCCTGGTAAGAATCCTTCCTAAGCTGTTGACACCTACCCACAATACCTTTGACGGGATTGACAGCGCTCAGCATGGCTTTAAAGACGTCCACCATAGCCTTGTCTCTCAGGATGGTCTTCTGAAGCACCGTCAGGAAGTTCTAATGGAACAAAAACCTGTCATGTTATGGAACCTTGAGGGGAAGTAATAACTAACTGGACCACTTGAATGATTCTAAATGTATTCAAATAAAACAGGTGAGCCGAGCCATACTTCAATATGTGGTTGTTGAATGATAATGACTGGCCATGTCTCTACAGAAAGTCAAGCTAAGAATGACAGTACGTGTATCAAATATAACAGCAAACTGATATTGACCTCAATATCATGATATTAATAACATGATAGTTGGAACTCAATGAGACAACCTGGTTAAATAATTGTTAGGTCTCAGGTAGTAGGTTCCATACCAGTTAGACAGGCCTAGGATCCTATAGATCGCCAGAGTAGTATTCTCAGGCTGGCTCATGTTACCTGCAGTTCCTTGACGATCATGAAGCAGAGCAGCCTGTCCAGCCCGTTGAGGCCGAAGGTCCCCAGGGTGTCCTGTATCTCAGAAAACAGACGGTTGTTGGTCACCTCCTGGTGGGTCTTCAGGTCGTACCAGGTGTTCAACTGGTCCACGTAGCATGTCACTCTGGAATACAGGTAACAGGTAAACCTATGCATTAAGACATATTAAAAGCACTGAGAAGAGTGTACACCAAAACAGACATCCACTACCATGTATATGCCATGCCGTGTCAAAGTACACCAATGCTCCCTTCCATAACTACCTATAAGCTGACAGACTGATGCCACAAAGGTGACATGGAGAGAGAGAGATACCTACTTGGGGTCTGTGATGTGGAGAGAGATACCTACTTGGGGTCTGTGATGCGGAGGATCTCTCTACAGAGTCGCCCTATGAAGGTGGCTGACTCATCGACCGAGGGGAACTTGGGGATGGGTATATGGGTCGACTGGTAGACACTCTCCCAATCCTGGATCTAAGAAACACAAAACGGCTGAACATTAAGACGTTTCAAAAGTATGTATATTATTTAAACCAGGGCTCTCCAACCCTGTTTCTGGAGAGCTACTCTCCTGTAGGCTATCGCTACCTGATTCAACCAGCTAATTATTAGAAGGGAGCTTGGACCTTCTCCTCCAACACGGTTGCGAAGGAGGATGTAACGTTTTCCCTTTTTGATGATGTTTTAATGTTTTAAAGGATGCAAGGAATCAACCAGACAAACTGAGAAAGAGCCATGTGGATTTAAGGTGTGAGTCCAACCTTGGTGCGTAGGAAGCTGTTGCACTCCTGCTCCACGTTGTAGTTGATGATGCGAGAGACCTCCTCCTGCCAGATCTTCAGGCCGTAGATGGAGACATAGTCCTGGATGTACTCAAAGGACCGGTAGAACCCATCCATGGTGGCTGCCATCTCCTTGAGCTTCGGCATCAGCTCACTGGTCTGACCAGGTGTGAGATTGAAATGTACCATGATTAACATGCTGTAACGCTTCATTTCCCCCCCCCCCTCTCCATTTTCAAGTTCGCAGACAACTTTGTTTGTATTCTGTAATGAATAAAACCTGAACAATCCGGATCATGCTACTTCAGAAAGTGAAAGTGACGGTTAACACTGGGCTGAATGGTCTTGTGGAATGGTTGACATTGTGTTGTGGTCAGATATCTCACCTTAGCCTTGGGGTTAAAGATAAGTCCTTTGTGTAGAGCATAGGCTACTCTCCTCACCAACTCCTTCCTGATACCATCTTCCAGGAGCTGCTTGGGATCCACCTGAAGAGACACCATGACAGGTAAGACTTATGCGTTTCGACACATTTTCTCAATTATAATATATCTAAAACAACAGTTGCACAAACCTGTTTTAATTTAAAAACTGACCTTGATGATTCCAACCAGTGTAGTCTTCATCATCAGAATCCCTTCAGTAAAGATGGAGATGGCGTGGGTGAGTTTGGCAACCTGTGAGAAAAGGAAGAAGAAGAACAAGTCGATGACGTCCAGCTGTAGAAAACCCACTGCCTCTCACAAACACTGCTCCTCTGAGCCGGAGAGGAACAGTTGGGGAGACTCAGTGAGCATCTGCTCCCTCTCCACAGTTAGGGGCCAGGAACCTAGTCAGGAAAAACTCTGGCTCCTAGTTATAGTCATTAGCATAGGTCCTAACTATAGTATAGGTCCTAGTTATAGTCACTACTATAGGTCCTAGTTTTAGTCACTACCATAGGTCCTAGTTATAGTCACTAATATAGGTCCTAGTTATAGTCACTAATATAGGTCCTAGTTATAGTCACCAATATAGGTCCTTGTTATAGTCACTAATATAGGTCCTAGTTATAGTCACTAATATAGGTCCTAGTTATAGTCACTAATATAGGTCCTAGTTATAGTCCATTGGGTCCTATTATAGTCCCATATAGGTCCTAGTTTTAGTACAATAAGCCCTAGTTTAGTCACAAAGGGCCCTAGTTAATCCCTTGGTCCTTGTTTAGCACTATTAGGTCCTAGTTATAGCCCTAATATAGGCCTAGTTATAGCCCAAAAATAGGTCCTAGTTATAGTCACCAAATAGGTCCTTTTTTATAGTCACAAATTAGGTTAGTTTAGTCATCCTAGGTTTTTAGTCACTCAAAGGGCCCTAGTTATAGTCCACATGGCCCTAGTTAAGCACTTATAGGCCCTTTTTTTGTCATCCCATGGCCCCTAGTTTTAGTCACTAATAGGCCCCTATTTAAGTCACTAATGTCCTAGTTATAGTCACAATAGGTCCTTTTAAGTACTAATAGGTCCAGTTTTAGTCACTAATGGTCCGTTATAGTCACTATATAGGTCCTAGTTTAGTCACAATGTCCTTTTATAGTCCTAATAGGCCCTAGTTTTGGGTCATCCTAGGTTTTTTTAGTCACTACCTGGGTTCCTTTAGATAGTCCTACAAAGGTCCTATTTTTAGCCTTAATAGGTCCTAGTTTTATCACTCCCATAGGCCGTTTAGTACTACCATAGGTCCTTTTTTTAGTCACTCCTGGTCCTAGTTTGTCATACAAGGGTCCTAGTTAATTTTATCATAGGTCCTATTTTTAAGTCACTCAAGGTCCAGTTAAGTACTACTATAGGTCCTGTTTAGCCTACAAAAGGTCCTATTATAGCCTCCCCCATGGGTCCAGTTTTAGTCACTACCATGGGTCCTAGTTTGTCACTACATAGGCTATTTATATTTTACCCCATAGGCCTGTTTAGTCACTACATAGGTCCTAGTTTAGTCACTACAAGGTCCTATTATAGTCACTACATAGGTCCTAGTTTTACACTCCCATGCCTATTTAGTAAACCCCTAGGCCCTAGTTAAGTAATTTAACCTAGTTTAGTCACTACATAGGTCCATTATAGTCACTCCCATAGGCCCTAGTTATAGTCACTACTTAGGTCCGGTTTTAGTAATACCATGGGTCCTAGTTTAGTCATACCTAGGTCCTATTATGTCATTTCCCAAGGTCCTGTTTAGTACTAATAAGGCCCTAGTTATAGTCCTACTATGGCCCTAGTTTTAGTCACAAATATGGTCCTAGATAGTCCAAATTAGGCCCTAGTTTGTCCCCAAATAGGTCCTGTTTAGTCACTAAATAGGCCCTATTTAAGTCACAAAATTAGGTCCTATTTTTAGCACTAAATAGGCCCTAGTTATGTAACCAAATTAGGCCCTTGTTATATCCAAATATGGTCCTAGTTTTAGTCAGCCCTAGTTATAGTCATCCATAGTCCAGTTATAGTCACACAAGGTCCTAGTTAAGTCACTATATAGGTCCTATTTTTGTCATTTACATGGGTCCTAGTTTTAGCCTAATGGTCCTATTATAGTCAAACCAAGGCCCTATTTATAGTCCAATTAAGGCCTTTTATAGTCACTAATGGTCCTAGTTTAGTCACTAATGGGCCCTAGTTATAGTCACTATATAGGTCCTAGTTATAGTCACCATAGGTCCTTTTATGTCATTAAAGGGTTTCCTAGTTTTATCCAAGGTCCATTTTTTAGCACCCCATAGGTCCAGTTAAGCCTCCCATAGGCCCTATTTTATCAAAATAGGTCCTATTTTATACTTACCATGGGTCCTAGTTTGCACTACTATGGTCCATTTTAATTTATCCATAGGCCCTAGTTAATCCTACAAGGTCCTAGTTTAGTCACTACATGGTCCAGTTTATCCTACTTGGGCCCAGTTTTAGCAACATGGGGCCTAGTTTACCCTCCCATAGGTCCTATTAAGTCACTACTTAGGCCATTTTTACCCCAATGGCCCCTATTTATAGCATACATAGGTCCTATTTAGTCATACTATAGGTCCTTTTTTTTTGTCACTCCCAGGTTATTATAGTCACTAAACCATAGGCCTTTATAGTCACTACATGGGTCCTAGTTTAGTCACTCCCCAAGGTCCTAGTTAAGTCACTACCATGGTCCTAGTTTGTCCTACTATGGGGTCCTATTTTATATCCCATAGGGTCCTTTTATAGTCACTCCCCATAGGCCCTATTTTTAGTCATACATAGGTCCTATTTTTTTAGTCATACCATAGGCCCCCTATTTTATACCCCTACCAAGGCCCTAGTTAGTCCTCCAAGGGTCCTAGTTATAGACTACCATGGTCCTTTTTTGTCTCCCATAGACTCGATAGACCACCCTGGCCCCCTCACCAGTTTTAAACAAAACAGTGCTGTTTGGTTTAGAAAAGACCCCCATATCGCCTTTTAGAAGACATTTTATCCAAACCACAAAAGTCATTTGGAATAAAAAATTGTTGGGTGGCCCCCAAGGGGAATCGAACCCCAAACCCTTTGTCATGCAAGCCCATGTTTTCCCAAACTGATTCAAAAGGACCATAAGCGTCGGGCCACCCATGACCTTGACCTCGTAGGGGCCCCCCGGACGTAGTCCTTAGCTTGCCTTTCCGTTGGGGGGGAACCTCCATGATGGCATGGATCGCGCTTGATGATTTAGCCGGGGGGAACTGCTTCAGGGGTGATCTGAACACCTGAGGAGAGACGGAAACATGCTCCGGGATGGTCTGGAACACCTAGTGGGTACGGAAACATGTCCCGGGATATGATCGGAAAAAACCTAGTGGATACAGGAAACATGCTCCAGGGGTGGGATCGGAACCCTAGTGGAGAGACAGGAAAATGCCTTTAGGGGTGATGTCTGGAAACCTAGTGGAGGACAGGAAATAATCCCAAAAATTACAGCAGGTTTTATTATCAATTCCTCTTTAAATATGCAGAGATGGTCTTAACCCCAAACCCTAATCAACCCCTTTTTACCTCTAACACTTGCGATCGGTGGGATTTGAAAACATTGGATAGGTAAAGGGAAAGTAGTAATAAAACCCCCTGGCCTTCAAAAAAACACAGATGGGCTATCCCCTATTGCTTTCCACCATCCCAAACCCCTCGATCTAACGTGCTAGGGGGGAGGGGGTAGGGCTGGGGGGAGGGGGCTGGGGGGGGTTTTGGAAAATGGGACGGGGGGGGGGGGTGGGGGAGGGGGAATAGGGACGGGGGGAGGGAGTGGGGCTGGGGGTAGGGGGTAGGGATGGGGGTAGGGAGTAGGGACGGGGGTAAGGGGGGGTAAAGTAGGGAAATGGGGGTGGGGGAGGGACTGGGGTTAGGGGGTAGGGACTGGGGGGGGGGAGTAGGGACTGGGGGGGGGATGGGGCGGGGGGGTGGGAATAGGGAATGGGGGTGGGATAGGGAATGGGGGTAGGGAGTGGAAAGGGGGGGTAGGGAAAGGGGGGGGGAGTAGGACTGGGGGTGGGAGTAGGGATGGGGGTGGGGGGGATGGGGTGGGGGGGGGGGGGGGTAGGGACTGGGGTGGGGAGAGGGTGGGGGGGGGAGGGGTAGGGAAGGTGGGGGTTTAAAGGGGGGGGTGGGATGGGTGGGGGTGGGAGTAGGGGGCTGGGGGTGGGGGTAGGGGCTGGGGGGGGGGAAAGGGGGTAGGGACTGGGGGGGGGGGGAGGGACTGGGGTGGGGGGTAGTGGGGAATGGGGGGTAGGGAGGGGGGAGGGACTGGGGGGAGGGAGTAGGGGGCTGGGGTGGGGTAGGGGGGGGGTGGGAGTAGGGACGGGGGGGGAGTGGGATGGGGTGGGGTGGGGAGGGAAAAGGGGGGGGGGGAAATAGGGGTGGGGGGGAAAAGTAGGATGGGGTAAAGGGAGGGTGGGGGGTAGGGAAGGGGGGGTGGGTGGGGAGTAGGGCTGGGTGGGAGGGGTGGGGTGGGAGAGGGGGGAGGGATGGGGTAGGGGTGGGAATAGGGATGGGGTGGGGAAAAGGGGAGGGCTGGGGTGGGGGGGAGGGCTGGGGTGGGGGGTGGGGGGGGGAGGGGAGGGAGTAGGGATGGGGGTAGGGGGGTGGGGGGGGGAGGGGGGGGGTAGGGGGAGGGACGGGGGGTGGGGGTAAAGGGGGGGGGGAGTAGGGACGGGGGGGTAGGGAGGGGGAGGGACTGGGGTGGGGTAGGGATGGGGGTGGGGGTAGGGACTGGGGTAGGGAGTGGGGATGGGGGGGGGGTAGGGGCGGGGGGGGAGTTAGGGAATGGGAGTAGGACTGGGGGTAGGGGGGGTGGGGGGGGGAGGGCTGGGGAGGGGTAGGACGGGGTAGGGAAAGGGAGGGTGGGGGGGGAGGGATGGGGGGGGGAGGGATGGGGTGGGGGGATGGGAAATGGGTAGGGGGGGGGGGGGATGGGGGGGTGGGGGGTGGGGGGAGGGAATGGGGTGGGGAGGGGGACTGGGGGTAGGGGTGGGGGGGGTGGGGTTTTGGGGGGTGGGGTGGGGGTTAGGGATGGGGTGGGGGTGGGGTAGGGACTGGGTAGGGGTAGGGGGGGGGTAGGGGAGGAGGGGGGGGGGGGACGGGTTTGGGGGGGGGGGTAGGGGGGGGGGGGGGGGGGTGGGGTAGGGGGTGGGGGGGGAGGGGGAGGGAGGGACTGGGGGGGAAGGGGGAAGGGGGGGGGAAGGGGGGGGGGGGGGGTGGGGGGGTGGGGGGGAAAATAGGGAATGGGGGTAGGAACTGGAGAGATAGGGAGTAGGGACTGGGGGTAGGGAGTAGGGACTGGGAGTAGGAACTGGAGGTAGGGGATGTAGGGGACTGGGGGGTAGGGAGTAGGGACTGGGGGTAGGGAGTAGGGACTGGGGGTAGGGAGTAGGGACTGGTGGGGAGTAGGGACTGGGGTAGGGAGTAGGGACTGGAGTAGGGACTGGGGGTAGGGAGTAGGGACTGTGGGTAGGGAGTAGGGACTGTGGGTAGGGAGTAGGGACTGGGGTAGGGAGTAGGGACTGGGGTAGGGAGTAGGGACTGGGGGTTGATTTGGGATTCAGGATTCCTGGTCACCAGGACCATACCTTTCTGACGTAGGTCACCAGCTCCCCGGAGTAGAACTGAGAAACACTGAGCAGGTCTGGACTGTTGGCCTGGTTGATACGCAGCAGAGGCAGGTCCAACGCAGACGCCAACTGGTAACATAGATCAATAAAACACGCATTATTTGTATTTGTATTTATTATGGATCCCCATTAGTTCCTGCCAAGGCAGCAGCTACTCTTCCTGAGGTCTATCAAAATCAAGGCAGTTATACATTTTAAAAACATTACAATACATCCATAACAGATTTCACATCATATTAAGAGTGAGCCTTCAGGCCTCTACTCTACTACCACATATCTACAACACAAAATCCATGTGTACATGTGTGTATAGTGCGTATGTCATCGTGTGTTTGTATACATGTGTCTATGATTGTGATGCTTCACAGTCCCCGCTGTTCCATAACATGTATTTTTATCTGGGTTTTTTTAAATCTAATTTTACTGCTGGCATGAGTTACTTGATGTGGAATAGAGTTCCATGTAGTCATGGCTCTATGAAGTACTGTGCACCTCCCATAGTCTGTTCTGGACTTGGGGATTATGAAGAGACCTCTGGTGGCATGTCTTGTGGGGTATGCATGGGTGTCTGATCTGTGTGCCAGTAGACTGCATGTTTTGAAACAGAAAATACAAATGTCTTGTTTAGGGGATTAACCTGTGTACTCTACTAATGCACTGTCTGTCTGAGTAGTGAATGGTTCACCTTTAGAAAGGTGGCTCGTAGTTTGGTCACCATGGATGGGTTCGCTCTGATACTCTCCTGCATGATGGACGTGAAGCTGGGAAAACAACCAGAGAGAAAAACATTCAATGGCAAATTTATATATTATAATTGACTTGCAAGAGAGACCTGGCTATGTCATCGTGAAACTGGTAAGCCAGAGTAGTTGGTCAGTGTGTACCTGTCTATGATCTGCCATGCATAGGACAGGTCTCCTACTATCTGCATGGTGATCAGGACCTCCTCCTTGATGTTAATGGTCCTGATCATCTGGTGAAGGAACTTCCTGGTGTCAGCCAGAAACTGACACACCTGCAGGTTGGACTCCAACTGGTGGAACTCTTGAACCTGAGGACAGGAAGTCAGGGTTTATTGGTAAGGAGAGGACAGGAAGTCAGGGTTTATTGGTAAGGAGAGGACAGGAAGTCAGGGTTTATAGGTAAGGAGAGGACAGGAAGTCAGGGTTTATAGGTAAGGAGAGGACAGGAAGTCAGGGTTTATAGGTAAGGAGAGGACAGGAAGTCAGGGTTTATAGGTAAGGAGAGGACAGGAAGTCGGGGTTTATTGGTAAGGAGAGGACAGGAAGTCAGGGTTTATAGGTAAGGAGAGGACAGGAAGTCAGGGTTTATAGGTAAGGAGAGAACAGGAAGTCAGGGTTTATTGGTAAGGAGAGGACAGGAAGTCAGGGTTTATAGGTAAGGAGAGGACAGGAAGTCAGGGTTTATATATAAACATATTTTTGGACAAAACAACATAATTGTATATCAAATCAAAGGGATTCAAATTATGCCCATGTAATAGATATGATCATGTAACGGTCACTAAGAGAGTTACCCAGAGATGAAATAACTACAGTGCATGTACTCTTGTTCATGTTCTAGTCCTCACCTCTACAAGGGCCTGTATCAGCTGAACGGTCTTCCTGCCTGCAGCGGTGGAGTCCTCATAGTTCAGAGATTCTATCTGCTTAGAAATCTCCCTGAACCATGCCTGCAGGTTCTCTGTCCAACACAACAACAACCATGTTAACAACACACATCAACATCTAACACATTTACAATAAGAGGAAGTATGGCATAGTGAGTTCAGCTTTCACTATTGCAATAGGAATAGGTATGGTACAGTGAGACAGCAATATGAATAGGTATGGTACAGTGAGACTGAAATAGGAATAGGTATGGTACAGTGACAGCAATAGGAATAGGTATGGTACAGTGACAGCAATAGGAATAGGTATGGTACAGTGACAGCAATAGGAATAGGTATGGTACAGTGACAGCAATAGGAATAGGTATGGTACAGTGAGCCAGCAATAGGAATAGGTATGGTACAGTGACAGCAATAGGAATGGTACAGTGACAGCAATAGGAATAGGTATGGTACAGTAAGCCAGCAATAGGAATAGGTATGGTACAGTGACAGCAATAGGAATAGGTATGGTACAGTGAGCCAGCAATAGGAATAGGTATGGTACAGTAAGCCAGCAATAGGAATAGTACAGTGAGACAGCAATAGGAATAGGTATGGTACAGTGACAGCAATAGGAATAGGTATGGTACAGTGAGCCAGCAATAGGAATAGGTATGGTACAGTGAGCCAGCAATAGGAATAGGTATGGTACAGTGACAGCAATAGGTATGGTACAGTGAGACAGCAATAGGAATAGGTATGGTACAGTGACAGCAATAGGAATAGGTATGGTACAGTGAGACAGCAATAGGAATAGGTATGGTACAGTGAGACAGCAATAGGAATAGGTATGGTACAGTGACAGCAATAGGAATATGTATGGTACAGTGACAGTAATAGGTATGGTACAGTGAGCAACAAGCTTTTAAGAGCATAATACATTAAGAACACCTTCCTAATATTGAGTTGCACCTCCTTTTTCCCCTCAGAACAGCCTCAATTCGCCGGGGCATGGACTCTACAAGGTGTCGGGGCATGGACTCTACAAGGTGTCGGGGCATGGACTCTACAAGGTGTCGGGGCATGGACTCTACAAGGTGTCGGGGCATGGACTCTACAAGGTGTCGGGGCATGGACTCTACAAGGTGTCGGGGCATGGACTCTACAAGGTGTCGGGGCATGGACTCTACAAGGTGTCGGGGCATGGACTCTACAAGGTGTCGGGGCATGGACTCTACAAGGTGTCGGGGCATGGACTCTACAAGGTGTCGGGGCATGGACTCTACAAGGTGTCGGGGGCATGGACTCTACCAAGGTGTCGGGGCATGGACTCTACAAGGTGTCGGGGCATGGACTCTACAAGGTGTCGGGGCATGGACTCTACAAGGTGTCGGGGCATGGACTCTACAAGGTGTCGGGGCATGGACTCTACAAGGTGTCGGGGCATGGACTCTACAAGGTGTCGGGGCATGACTCTACAAGGTGTCGGGGCATGGACTCTACAAGGTGTCGGGGCATGGACTCTACAAGGTGTCAAAAGTGTTCAACAGGGATGTTGGACCATGTTGACCCCAATGCTTCCCACAAACTGTTGAGCATGAAAAACCCAGCAGCGATGCAGTTCTTGACACACTCAAACCAGTGGAGTGTGTCAAGGAACCTACTACCATACCCCGTTCAAAGGCACTTCAATATTTTGTCTTGCCCATTCACCCTCTGAATGGCCCACATACACAATCCATGTCTCAATTGTCTCAAGGCTTAAAAATCCGTCTTTAACCTGTCTCCTCCCCTTCATCTACACTGACTGAAGTGGATTTAACAAGTGACATCAATAAGGAATCATAGCTTTCACCTGGATTCACCTGGTCAGTCTATGTCATGGTTCTTTATGATTTGTCCAGTCAGTGTATATCCCACACATATAAGCAGTTTCAGTGGTTGACTCCAACTAAAAGGATTTGCAAGCAGTCACACTAAGAGAGGGATTCCAGATTGTGAACTGCCAGTTGTGGTAATGATGTGTCTTTACGTTGTATCTAGAGTTGTGTTATCCATCTCACCATTCTTCTCCACTCTGGTTAGAGGCTTGACCCCAGAGAACACCTCAGCCAGCTCCGTCATCCTCTCAGCCCCCTCGGTTCTATAGCTCTCCCATTTCAGCTGCTTCTCGGACAGCATCTGCTTGAACATCTGTGAGGAAGGGGAGTACAGATGGTGAATCCACCATTATATTCAGAGACGGACACGGTTTTATTGTGTAATCCACCATTATATTCAGAGACGGACACGGTTTCATTGTGTAATCCACCATTATATTCAGAGACTGACACGGTTTTATTGTGTAATCCACCATTATATTCAGAGACGGACACGGTTTTATTGTGTAATCCACCATTATATTCAGAGACGGACACAGTTTTATTGTGTAATCCACCATTATATTCAGAGACGGACACGGTTTCATTGTGTAATCCACCATTATATTCAGAGACTGACACGGTTTTATTGTGTAATCCACCATTATATTCAGAGACGGACACGGTTTTATTGTGTAATCCACCATTATATTCAGAGACGGACACGGTTTTATTGTGTAATCCACCATTATATTCAGAGACGGACACGGTTTTATTGTGTAATCCACCATTATATTCAGAGACGGACACGGTTTTATTGTGTAATCCACCATTATATTCAGAGACGGACACGGTTTTATTGTGTAATCCACCATTATATTCAGAGACGGACACGGTTTTATTGTGTAATCCACCATTATATTCAGAGACGGACACGGTTTTATTGTGTAATCCACCATTATATTCAGAGACGGACACGGTTTCATTGTGTAATCCACCATTATATTCAGAGACGGACACGGTTTCATTGTGTAATCCACCATTATATTCAGAGACGGACACGGTTTCATTGTGTAATCCACCATTATATTCAGAGACGGACACGGTTTTATTGTGTAATCCACCATTATATTCAGAGACGGACACGGTTTTATTGTGTAATCCACCATTATATTCAGAGACGGACACGGTTTTATTGTGTAATCCACCATTATATTCAGAGACGGACACGGTTGTATTGTGTTATCCACCATTATATTCAGAGACGGACACGGTTTTATTGTGTAATCCACCATTATATTCAGAGACGGACACGGTTTTATTGTGTAATCCACCATTATATTCAGAGACGGACACGGTTTTATTGTGTAATCCACCATTATATTCAGAGACGGACACGGTTTTATTGTGTAATCCACCATTATATTCAGAGACGGACACGGTTTTATTGTGTAATCCACCATTATATTCAGAGACGGACACGGTTTTATTGTGTAATCCACCATTATATTCAGAGACGGACACGGTTTTATTGTGTAATCCACCATTATATTCAGAGACGGACACGGTTTTATTGTGTAATCCACCATTATATTCAGAGACGGACACGGTTTTATTGTGTAATCCACCATTATATTCAGAGACGGACACGGTTTTATTGTGTAATCCACCATTATATTCAGAGACGGACACGGTCTTATTGTGTAATTACAACTTGACTTGGCATCAAATCATATATCATATTGTTAGACTCACTTCTTTGAGAGTGAACTCAAACTGGGCGGTGTCTAGGAGTAACTGGAAGAGGATCTTGGGGTTGTACTTGGAGTCGTTGATCACCTGATCTTTGATCTGTCGCAGACGCTTGTTGTTGGGATCATAGGCTGCAAGAAGAAAAGACAACATAGTTTAGGAATATAGTATCACCTGACATGATTCAGCCTGAGGTTCAGCCTGACATGATTCTACCTGAGGTTCAGCCTGACATGATTCTACCTGAGGTTCAGCCTGACATGATTCTACCTGAGGTTCAGCCTGACATGATTCTACCTGAGGTTCAGCCTGACATGATTCTACCGGAGGTTCAGCCTGACATGATTCTACCTGAGGTTCAGCCTGACATGATCTACCGAGTTCAGCCTGACATGATTCTACTGAGGTTCTGAAGATTTACCTGAGGTTCAGCCTGACATGATTCTACCTGAGGTTCAGCTACAGATCTACTAGGTTCGACATGATTCTACCTGAGGTTCAGCCTGACATGATTCTACCTGAGGTTCAGCCTGACATGATTCTACCTGAGGTTCTGCCTGACATGATTCTACCTGAGGTTCAGCCTGACATGATTCTACTGAGGTTCAGCCTGACATGATTCTACCGGAGGTTCTGCCTGACATGATTCTACCTGAGGTTCAGCCTGACATGATTCTACCTGAGGTTCAGCCTGACATGATTCTACCGGAGGTTCTGCCTGACATGATTCTACCTGAGGTTCAGCCTGACATGATTCTACCTGAGGTTCAGCCTGACATGATTCTACCTGAGGTTCAGCCTGACATGATTCTACCTGAGGTTCAGCCTGACATGATTCTACCTGAGGTTCAGCACTGACATGATTCTACCTGGAGGTTCAGCCTGACATGATTCTACCTGAGGTTCAGCCTGACATGATTCTACCGGAGGTTCAGCCTGACATGATTCTACCGGAGGTTCAGCCTGACATGATTCTACCTGAGGTTCAGCCTGACATGATTCTACCTGAGGTTCAGCCTGACATGATTCTACCTGAGGTTCAGCCTGACATGATTCTACCTGAGGTTCAGCCTGACATGATTCTACCTGAGGTTCAGCCTGACATGATTCTACCGAGGTTCAGCCTGACAGTTCTACCGGAGGTTCAGCCTGACATGATTCTACCTGAGGTTCAGCCTGACATGATTCTACCTGAGGTTCAGCCTGACATGATTCTACCTGAGGTTCAGCCTGACATGATTCTACCTGAGGTTCAGCCTGACATGATTCTACCTGAGGGTTTCAGCCTGACATGATTCTACCCTTAGGTTCAGCCTGACATGATTCTACCTGGGTTCCGCCTGACATGATTCTACCTGAGGTGTTCAGGCCTGACATGATTCTACCTGAGGTTCAGCTGACATTGATTCTACTGAGGTTCAGCCTCCTGACATTTTTCTACCTGAGGTTCAGCCTGGCGAATGATTCTACCTGAGGTTCAGCCTGACAATGATTCTACCTGAGGTTCAGCCTGACATGATCTACCGGAGGGTTCAGCCTGGACATGATTCTACTGAGGTTCAGCCTGACATGATTCCTACCTGAGGGTTCAGCCTGACATGATTTTCTACCTGAGGCGTTCAGCCTGACATGATTCTACCTGAGGTTCAGCCTGATCATGCTTCTACCTGAGGTTCAGCCTCCTGACTGATTCTACCGGAGGTTCAGGCCTGACATGATTCTACCTGACCGGTTCAGCCTGACATTGATTCTACACCACGGAGGTTCAGCCCTGACATTGATTCTACCTGAGGTCAGCCTGACATGATTTCTACCTGAGGTTCAGCCTGACATGATTCTACCTGAGGTTCAGCCTGACATGATTCTACCTGAGGTTCAGGCCTGACATGATTCTACCTGAGGTTCAGCCTGACATGATTCTACTGAGGTTCAAGCCTGACATGATTCTACCTGAGGTTCAGCCTGACATGATTCTACCTGAGGTTCAGCCTGACATGATTCTACCTGAGGTTCAGCCTGACATGATTCTACCTGAGGTTCAGCCTGACATGATTCTACCTGAGGTTCAGCCTGACATGATTCTACCTGAGGTTCAGCCTGACATGATTATACCTGAGGTTCAGCCTGGACATGATTCTAGCCTGAGGTTCAGCCTGACATGATTCAGCCTGAGGTTCAGCCTGACATGATTCTACCTGAGGTTCAGCCTGACATGATTCTACCTGAGGTTCAGCCTGAGGTTCAGCCTGACATGATTCTACCTGAGGTTCAGCCTGACATGATTCTACCTGAGGTTCAGCCTGACATGATTCTACCTGAGGTTCAGCCTGACATGATTCTACCTGAGGTTCAGCCTGACATGATTCTACCTGAGGTTCAGCCTGAGGTTCAGCCTGACATGATTCTACCTGAGGTTCAGCCTGACATGATTCTACCTGAGGTTCAGCCTGAGGTTCAGCCTGACATGATTCTACCTGAGGTTCAGCCTGACATGATTCTACCTGAGGTTCAGCCTGACATGATTCTACCTGAGGTTCAGCCTGACATGATTCTACCTGAGGTTCAGCCTGACATGATTCAGCCTGAGGTTCAGCCTGACATGATTCTACCTGAGGTTCAGCCTGACATGATTCTACCTGAGGTTCAGCCTGACATGATTCTACCTGAGGTTCAGCCTGACATGATTCTACCTGAGGTTCAGCCTGACATGATTCTACCTGAGGTTCAGCCTGACATGATTCTACCTGAGGTTCAGCCTGACATGATTCTACCTGAGGTTCAGCCTGACATGATTCTACCTGAGGTTCAGCCTGACATGATTCTACCTGAGGTTCAGCCTGAACATGATTCTACCTGAGGTTCAGCCTGACATGATTCACCTGAGGTTCAGCCTGACATGATTCTACCTGAGGTTCAGCCTGACATGATTTCTACCTGAGGTTCAGCCCTGAACATGATCTACCTGAGGTTATGCCTGACATGATTCTACCTGAGGGTTTCAGCCTGACATGATTCTACCTGAGGTTCAGCCTGACATGATTCTACCGGAGGTTCAGCTTGAGGTTAGCCTGACATGATTCTACCTGAGGTTTCAGCCTGACATGATTCTACCTGAGGTTCAGCCTGACATGATTCTACCTGAGGTTCAGCCTGACATGATTCTACCTGAGGTTCAGCTCTGCATCGTTTTGATACTAGTTCTCATTCCCACTTTAAACAAACAACTACAAAAAAGTATTCATGAGCCCTTTATAAGGCCTTTATAGATGCTTCATGAACCCTTTATAAGGCCTTTATGGATGCTTCATAAATCAGTTCTAAGCACATTTCATGCATGGACCTAGATGTCTATAGAAAGCCCTACCTGAGTCTGCATTGTGTAGCATCAGCCAGCGTATCGCCACATTACAGTCCCTTAAACAGTTGAGCAGCTTGGGGATGTTATCCAGGACTATCTCCTCCCTCAGGAACCCTTCCTTCAGCAGCTGCTGGATCTGGGGCCTCAGGCCATCCATACTAACTGAATAGCGACTGGCCTAGAGGAGAGAAGAGGAGGGTTAACGTCTGGTTAGTTATAGGGTGTTATAACATACTAGACCTAGGGCCTCAGGCCATCCATACTAACTGAATAACAACTGGCAGTGGGATGTTTTAAAGGTGTTATAACATGGTAGTGGGGGTGTCATAAGCAGTCCTCTAACCTTCCACATTTTCACAACAACTGTGGTAGGATATGACGGGACAACTGTGGTAGGATATGACGGGACAACTGTGGTAGGATATGACGGGACAACTGTGGTAGGATATGACGGGACAACTGTGGTAGGATATTGACGGGACAACTGTGGTAGGATATGACGGGACAACTGTGGTAGGATATGACGGGGACAACTGTGGTAGGGATATGACGGGACAACTGTGGTAGGATATGACGGGACAACTGTGGTAGGATATGACGGGACAACTGTGGTAGGATATGACGGGACAACTGTGGTAGGATATGACGGGACAACTGTGGTAGGATATGACGGGACAACTGTGGTAGGATATGACGGGACAACTGTGGTAGGATATGACGGGACAAACTGTGGTAGGATATGACGGGACAACTGTGGTAGGATATGACGGGACAACTGTGGTAGGATATGACGGGACAACTGTGGTAGATATGACGGGACAACTGTGGTAGGATATGACGGGACAACTGTGGTAGGATTGACGGGACAACTGTGGTAGGATATGACGGGACAACTGTGGTAGGATATGACGGGACAACTGTGGTGGATATGACGGGACAACTGTGGCAGGATATGACGGGACAACTGTGGCAGGATATGACGGGACAACTGTGGCAGGATATGACGGGACAACTGTGGCAGGATATGACGGGACAACTGTGGCAGGATATGACGGGACAACTGTGGCAGGATATGACGGGACAACTGTGGCAGGATATGACGGGACAACTGTGGCAGGATATGACGGGACAACTGTGGCAGGATATGACGGGACAACTGTGGCAGGATATGACGGGACAACTGTGGCAGGATATGACGGGACAACTGTGGCAGGATATGACGGGACAACTGTGGCAGGATATGACGGGACAACTGTGGCAGGATATGACGGGACAACTGTGGCAGGATATGACGGGACAACTGTGGCAGGATATGACGGGACAACTGTGGCAGGATATGACGGGACAACTGTGGCAGGATATGACGGGACAACTGTGGTAGGATATGACGGGACAACTGTGGTAGGATATGACGGGACAACTGTGGTAGGATATGACGGGACAACTGTGGTAGGATATGACGGGACAACTGTGGTAGGATATGACGGGACAACTGTGGTAGGATATGACGGGACAACTGTGGTAGGATATGACGGGACAACTGTGGTAGGATATGACGGGACAACTGTGGTAGGATATGACGGGACAACTGTGGCAGGATATGACGGGACAACTGTGGTAGGATATGACGGGACAACTGTGGTAGGATATGACGGGACAACTGTGGTAGGATATGACGGGACAACTGTGGTAGGATATGACGGGACAACTGTGGTAGGATATGACGGGACAACTGTGGTAGGATATGACGGGACAACTGTGGCAGGATATGACGGGACAACTGTGGTAGGATATGACGGGACAACTGTGGTAGGATATGACGGGACAACTGTGGCAGGATATGACGGGACAACTGTGGTAGGATATGACGGGACAACTGTGGCAGGATATGACGGGACAACTGTGGTAGGATATGACGGGACAACTGTGGTAGGATATGACGGGACAACTGTGGTAGGATATGACGGGACAACTGTGGCAGGATATGACGGGACAACTGTGGTAGGATATGACGGGACAACTGTGGTAGGATATGACGGGACAACTGTGGTAGGATATGATAGGACAACTGTGGTAGGATATGACGGGACAACTGTGGCAGGATATGACGGGACAACTGCGGTAGGATATGACGGGACAACTGTGGCAGGATATGACGGGACACTCACGTCTAAAACAAGGCCTTATGGGAAAACAACTGAAAACCATTCCATGTTAGTAGCCGTTCTGTAGGTAAGCCTGTTAGCCTCCATACCTGCTCTCTGATGTTGGCTGAGTCCAGGGTGTAGTTGAGGGCGATCTTGGCAGCTTTATATGGTTCCCAGGCCTCCACCAGATTCACAGTGATCCCCATATATACACTGATGACCTGCAGCAGGAGAACTTGTAAATAAACTACTTTAAACCTGCGTAATGGCTGGAGGCCTGGTGAAATATACTGCATCAAGATATGGAAAATGTATGCACTCACTAACTGTAAGTCGCTCTGGATAAGAGCGTCTGCTAAATGACTAAAAATTTAAAATGTAAATATGGCTCAAGAGAAACAAGTACACTAATGTTTCCCAAGTATTCAGGGAAGTGCAGCTTAGATGTCTCTCACCCAGTTATCAGGGAAGTACTTGTCCACTATCTCCCTCATCTTGGCCTGCTGAGTGTGCAGTATGGAGGGAGTGAAGTAGAGACAGACGTACAGCATGGCAGCCTGGTTAGCTAACGCCGTGCTGCGGTGCTCAGGCAGGGGGTACGCAGACACCTGGGGAACACAGAGGACAGCTTTAGAGACAGACGTACAGCATGGCAGCCTGGTTAGCTAACGCCGTGCTGCGGTGCTCAGGCAGGGGGTACGCAGACACCTGGGGAACACAGAGGACAGCTTTAGAGACAGACGTACAGCATGGCAGCCTGGTTAGCTAACGCCGTGCTGCGGTGCTCAGGCAGGGGGTACGCAGACACCTGGGGAACACAGAGGACAGCTTTAGAGACAGACGTACAGCATGGCAGCCTGGTTAGCTAACGCCGTGCTGCGGTGCTCAGGCAGGGGGTACGCAGACACCTGGGGAACACAGAGGACAGCTTTAGAGACAGGAGGAAACATGGATCAAAGCCTGGTTAGCTAACGCCGTGCTGCGGTGCTCAGGCAGGGGGTACGCAGACACCTGGGGAACACATAGGACAGCTTTAGAGACAGGAGGAAACATGGATCTAAGAATCAGATGATTACATGATCATAACATACAAATAGATTGAATAAGCCTACAAGACAATTGAATATTGTTGCATAACTCGTTTCGCAAGCAATTCCATTCAGTTCTAGGATACTACCACCTAAATGGAGCCAATGGAATGTTGACGTTACCCAATATGACAACATGGCATATAAGGATGTACAGAAATGTACTAAGAATGGGTTAGTATGACACGACTAACTCCTTATGAGGTAAGAAAACAAATGGTTAAAAATCCAGCAAACTATCCCTTTGAGCCTTTTTTATTTATTATTGAACCTTTATTTAAACTAGGCAAGTCAGTTACGAACCAATTCTTATTTACAATGACGGCCTACACCGGCCAAACCCGGACGACGCTGCGCCGCCCTATGGGACTCCCAATCACGGCCGGTTGTGATACAGCCTGGAATCGAACCAGGGGGTCTGTAGTGACGCCTCAAGCACTGAGATGCAGTGCCTTATACCGCTGCGCCACTCGGGAGCCCGACATGATCGTACCACCTTACCTGGTTATAGATGTCATCAGAGCGCAGCCTCCCGATCACCATGCTGATGAAGGTGGCGCTGATAGGCACTCTCTGGAAGTAGCTCTCAGGGTAGTTAGCTGGCCGTTTGACCCCTGGCTGGCTAGAGAACCCTGTACTACGCAGCAGCTTACAGATGTCATCCAGGTTAGAGTCCGCTGAGGAGCGAGCGGCACTGGAGAGACAAATAGGACATGTATAGTTAGTAAGATGTTCACTTGAACTCAAATGTTTTGGTTTCTTTCATTCAAATGTTGCTTTTTAGCTCCATCTGGTATTATGCATTCGATTTCAGCCTGTGAAATGTTTTCAAATCAAATCAAATGTTATTGGTCACATGCACATATTTAGCAGACGTTATTGTGTGTGGCGAAATGCTTGTGCAACGTTGCTTAGGAGCTAGAAGCAGAGTTGCCATGTCTGTTGGCGCCATCTTACTATCTTAGTGTTATAGTATTATTGATAATATTATTGATAGAATTAAATGGTCCCTGACAAAATAACAAAGAAGATTGATTCTTAAAAGGGATCAAATGTATAAAGGATGCAGAAGCAACCCCCAAAAAGAGCAGCATAGTGTCACCTGTATCTATAGTAGGACACCAGCATCCTCTCTCTGACCTCCCCCTCCATCTTCTGGTCGATAACCAACAGCATGACCCCATAGAGATACAGGGCTTCGCACTGGTTACAAGGACAAACAACACATCATGAGACTTTTGCATGGCCTTCTGGACATTGTCAAACATACAGGGATGATCTTCATAAACGTATTCAAGTTGGTCTTAGCGCTATAAAGCTTTCAGGGAACACACGCCGGGCCCTCTACAAAATATAAGTGATTCCAAGAGATTTACCAGCAGCTGTTTCCCATCCTCATTCAGCAGCACAGTCTCCAGGGTCTGCTGGATGTAGACACCTTCATACAGGTCGTCCAGGTACCTTGAGAGAAGAACGGCAAATGAAATAAAGCATGGTGTGGAAATGTTATGGTGAGACAGTCAGACTACTTGACCCACCACACAGTAAGGCTTCAGCTCAATGAAATGTTATGGTGAGACAGACAGACTACTTGACACACCACACATTAAGGCTTCAGCTCAATGAGCGAACAGACCAAATATGTAATCCAAACAGACACATGGTTGATATCGTAAGGAGGAATTCTATATTACCTGATTAGATCAACGGTGTACTTGTGTACACTTTCAAAGGCCAGGTAGAATCGTGAGAGTATCTCTATGTTGTTCTCCCGGAACTCTTCATCCAGATCCTGAAGCTCTGGTTTGGCTTCTACCTTACTGTCATAGTACTCTGGACCCTGGAAGGCAGGGGGTGAAAAAGTTAATTATGGACATAACATTGGACATACATTATATCCCTGCACTTCGTCATCATGCCATAACACATTCTAAAGAATCTAGTTCATAGATGACATCAAATAACTTGAAAGACCTAACCATGACACTGGCGGTGTGTGTCCATTATCTAGGAGGTGCACCACAAATGATGTCCTTTCACTGTCATCTCATTTCACACTCATTTAACAAGACAATCCCATCTCACCTTGAAGTAGCTGAAGTCGCAGATGATGTCTCCATATTTCTGCTGGTCGCTCTTGTCTTTGAGCCTGAAGACCGCAGGGATGAACTCTGAGAGGCGGAGGAGCTCGGCTATGATAGCGTTCCCCCGGGACACGATCCTCAGCACTGCCTGGCCACACAGGTTGTTCTCCGCCAGGAAATCCACCATGGCGGCGGTATCGGTCTACAAGGCGTTCTGCAATTCGGGCTCTGGCCCACTTCTACACTAGTATTGTGTAAAGAGAGACACAGCTGCCACTAGCTAGACAAGTTCAACCAGGAACTAAACTGCATCTCTAAATAGTATTCATTTGTATAACGAGTTCGGCTAGTTTCATGAAACAATTGTGCATATAGCTATCACCAGCTGGCTAGTTGAAGCCAGTAGCCGGAAATATGTTTTGCAACAAGGGGTGGATTTACATGCACAATTTCACAACAGTACTTACCTTTAGGGATAAAACTATATGATAGTGTACTTGCTTGCTAATTGTTGGCTGTTTCAAGTTTTTCAATTCAATTCCTGTTTACCATCACATGACAAACCACATGATTCACCCGCTCCCTCCCTGCAGAGTATTTGTGGACCACTAGATGGCGACAAAGTCAAGACTAAGACCAGGGGCTTCTTCTTATTCGTGTGAATTTCCGGCCGACTAGAGACGCTGTCTTCTTCTTCGTCGTCGTCTTCGTCTTCTTCTTCTTTGCTATTATGACGGTCCGCAAACACATATTATAGGTGCATGCCGCCACCTACTGTATTGGCTGTGTATCAGCCTACTATTCTGTTGTCTGAATTCATTACTTTGTGAAAAAATTGCCCTACCAACTAACCCTGCACCCATTAAAACCTCACTACTATTCCACTACTTTGGCCCGATCTAAACCTACCTACTTGGGAGGACGGGACACTATTGTTCAAAACACCTTGTAACTCTTCTGCAGTAAAATATTGTACACCCAAGTACTTATGTGCAGCTGCCACCACAACATCTATCCTCTGTGATTTACCTTCCATTTCTGCGGTACAATTGACAACCGTGACCATGAACGCCAAAAAAAAAAAACTTATTGAAGCACATGTTATTCCTATCATGCTCTATTGGCCCCGGCCTACTTACAGGGATCCTCTCAGGATCACTCACTTCTCTACTACTCTCTTCGCTGCCTCAGCATACAGCACCTTCTGCACTACTCTGATCCTGGCAACCTCAACCTGTCTTTCTCTCACCTGACACCTCTGAACTCCGCACCATTGGTACCCCTACAGTTTACACACACAACTTTATTAACCGATACTACATATTCCTTTGTCTCATGTCCTCCTGCACACTTCTCACATCTAGGAATCTCCCTCCTACACACATCTAGGAAAGCGGCGGGCGTCACAAACGCCAGGAATATTCTTTCATTTGATCCACATCTACACTCAATGCTACCCCACTGATCACTCCTTTGAGCAGCGCCCTGCTCCGAGTAGTGATGGGATTCTCTGCTATTTTTATTGACTCTGATCTTTACGACTAGTTCAGTCAAAAGAACGAATCATTCGCGAACTGCACATAAGTACTCCGGAGAGCAAAGCACAAGAAACTACAGGTTGAGCCCCGGAGACGCTAGTCGTCCGCTGCCTCTTAGATGGAGGATGCACAAACAATCAAAACAATTGCACTTATCTTTCACAGATGTAACCGATCCCAGTTTGTCCGTAACCAGCCTGAAACAACATACGGGTCGGCCAAAAAGCAGGAATCCACTTTTTCCAAAAAATCTCACTACAAAATCATATCTGATAGGACTCCCATGGCAAACACTGAAAATGTCTACCACACTTGTTGCCTCAGGCTGGCTCAACTTCGGAGCACTTCCTAGGCCTACTGACCGACCGACTCAAGGTTCTCAAGAGCGCAAGTAGAATTATAGGTGAATGTATGGTGAGTGTATGGTGAATGGCTTGTATTCAGGAGACTGAGGCTTGAACGAAGGTTTGTACTCAGGAGATGTAGGTCTGTACTTAATGCCATTTTTATGCTTTTGTGTCATCGCACCGTCCTCACAGCTCTCTCCACCTCACATTACAACATCGAACTGGTGCCCAGCAAAGAGTAGGGGCTGCAATGTAGGGTAACTTTGTAGGGTAACTAGGGTAACTGCCTGGTAGTTTATATAATACATGATTTGGCCTTAATGGGAGATGTCTTGATTTGTGTAACATTATCTCAGTGTATGCTATGAATGCCTAAAAACGAAATAATTACTAGACAATTACAAGCTAATAAATAACTTAATGTCAGAGCTGGCAGAAGTTCTTGTCACAAGGCTCAGTGGTGGATCTGGATGCCCTGACATAAAATAGCCTGGATTTCTGTCGTTTTACGCGTGTACTAACTGTAAGTCGCTCTGGATAAGAGCGTCTGCTAAATGACTAAAATGTAAAAATGTATGGACTGACGGGTTTTACACACCAACAAAGGATTGTTAAGCCTTGAGACAATTGAGACATGGATTGTGTATGTGTGCCATTAAGAGGGTGAATGGGCAAGACAAAAGATGTAAGTGTCTTTGAACCGGGTATGGTAGTAGGTGCTAGGCACACCGGTTGGTGTCAAGAACTGCAACGCTGCTGCGTTTTTCACGCTCAACAGTTTTCCGTGTGTATCAAGAATGGTCCACCACCCAAAGGACATCCAGCCAACTTGACACAACTGTGGGAAGCATTGGAGTCAACATGGGCCAGCATCCCTGTGGAACGCATTCAACACTTTGTAAAGTCCATGCCCCAACAAATGGAGGCTGTTCTGAGGGCAAAAGGGGTGAAACTCAATAATAGGAAGGTGTTCTTAATGATTTGTCCACTCAGTGTATATACCTTTCATAATATTTCCCCTAATGTTGTGTGACATGCGTATTACTCTTTCTCTCTCTATTGTTGCTTCATTCCTTCCTCGCTTTCAACAGTTACATGAAATACGTTTCACTGTCCTCATCTTCATCATTGTAATGACATGCTGAATAATATAATAATACAGGACTAGAATTAGATGCAGACGGACTTCACTTCTCTCCACGAAGATTTAATGGTTATGGGTCTGAATAAATAACTGCTATAGCCTACCACCATCGCGCATTTACTCTTCTTTCAAACTCCCTGTGTCCTATTGGCTGCTGTATTTAACATTCAGCAAACAAGAGCAATGGTCCTGTGGGGGGTAATCATTATATGCTGGTGGCTGAACCAAAAAGTCCTTGACCTCTTTGAACCCCTCACAGGACCATTGTCTCCTCTGACCCGGTCTGTCCCGCTTCCCAGAGGACATGGGATTTATTACTAATTTACCACGAGGCCATTCCAGGGTCACATGCTCAGCCTAACCAAAACACACACATACACATACACATACACACACACACATACACACATTTTTAAAAATGTTTTAGTCATTTAGCAGATGCTCTTATCCAGAGCGACTTACAGTTAGTGAGTGCATACATTTTCATACTGGCCCCCCGTGGGAACATACACACACACACACACATACACATACACACACCCACACACACACACACACACACACACACACACACACACAACCAACCGCTCAGCCAGCAGGACTTCTAGGCTGCGTCCCAAATACCACCATATTCCCTATATAATGCACTGCTTTTGACCAGGGCCCATAGGTCATTATATATGACATATATGTATATATACAGTGAGGAGAACAAGTATTTGATACACTGCCGATATTGCAGGTTTTCCTACTTACAAAGCATGTAGAGGTCTGTAATTTGTTATCATAAGTACACTTCAACTGCGAGAGACGGAATCTAAAACAAAAATCCAGAAAATCACATTGTATGATTTTTAAGTAATTAATTTGCATTTTATTGCATGACATAAGTATTTGATACATCAGAAAAGCAGAACTTAATATTTGGTACAGAAACCTTTGTTTGCAATTACAGAGATCATACGTTTCCTGTAGGTCTTGACCAGGTTTGCACACACTGCTGCAGGGATTTTGGCCCACTCCTCCATACAGACCTTCTCCAGAGCCTTCAGGTTTCGGGGCTGTCGCTGGGCAATACGGACTTTCAGCTCCCTCCAAAGATTTTCTATTGGGTTCAGGTCTGGAGACTGGCTAGGCCACTCCAGGACCTTGAGATGCTTCTTACGGTGCCACTCCTTAGTTGCCTTGCCTGTGTGTTTCGGGTTGTTGTCATGCTGGAAGACCCAGCCACGACCCATCTTCAACGCTCTTACTGAGGGAAGGAGGTTGTTGGCCAAGATCTCGCGATACATGGCCCCATCCATCCTCCCCTCAATACGGTGCAGTCGTCCTGTCCCCTTTGCAGAAAAGCATCCCCAAATAATTATGTTTCCACCTCCATGCTTCACGGTTGGGATGGTGTTCTTGGGGTTGTACTCATCCTTCTTCTTCCTCCAAACACGGAGAGTGGAGTTTAGACCAAAAAGCTCTATTTTTGTCTCATCAGACCACATGACCTTCTCCCATTCCTCCTCTGGATCATCCAGATGGTCATTGGCAAACTTCAGACGGGCCTGGACATGCCCTGGGGGACCTTGCGTGCACTGCAGGATTTTAATCCATGACGGCGTAGTGTGTTACTAATGGTTTTCTTTGAGACTGTGGTCCCAGCTCTCTTCAGGTCATTGACCATGTCCTGCCGTGTAGTTCTGGGCTGATCCCTCACCTTCCTCATGATCATTGATGCCCCACGAGGTGAGATCTTGCATGGAGCCCCAGACCGAGGATGATTGACCGTCATCTTGAACTTCTTCCATTTTCTAATAATTGCGCCAACAGTTGTTGCCTTCTCACCAAGCTGCTTGCCTATTGTCCTGTAGCCCATCCCAGCCTTGTGCAGGTCTACAATTTTATCCCTGATGTCCTTACACAGCTCTCTGGTCTTGGCCATTGTGGAGAGGTTGGAGTCTGTTTGATTGAGTGTGTGGACAGGTGTCTTTTATACAGGTAACGAGTTCAAACAGGTGCAGTTAATACAGGTAATGAGTGGAGAACAGGAGGGCTTCTTAAAGAATAACTAACAGGTCTGTGAGAGCCGGAATTCTTACTGGTTGGTAGGTGATCAAATACTTATGTCATGCAATAAAATGCAAATAAATTATTTAAAAATCATACAATG